TCAGTAATTATAAATCTCTTGTGAGTTGCTAACAAAATTGTTTTTTCACTTGTACTGTTTATAAACCGAAGTCAAGCTCTTGAGAGTGTTCTATGTCTTTAGTTATTTTTTTTATTTACTAGATTATTTCTTGTAGTTCAAAATCCTTTTTGAACTACAAGCCTAGTGTAACTTACCATGAAATGTAATATAATTTAAGCTCATCAGGCTATTTTAAATCTAATTTAAAAATTACACTTCCATGTTTGTTTTGTGAAGATTATGCCAAAGAAGGTATCTGAAGTCATTTTATAATCTTTATTATTCCTCACAAGAATTACATTCTAACACAAAATTTTCTCCATTTTTTCCTAGAAATCTGCTATTCTTAAATTATTATTTTAAAGAAACGTTAAAATGGGAAACTGGATGTATGTATATTATTGTAACTATTGAGTTTATCCACTGACCTGAACACCACTGATCTGTCATGAAAAGCTCTTTTATCATCCCATTTCTGTAAACTCTAAATAACACTGAACATGTTAAATACTATTCAAATACTTTGTTGTTAGATTCTTTTAATCCTCATCTACTTCACTGTTCAGTGGTTTGCAGGAGAGGGGCCAGAGCTGTCCCAATGTTCATACTTTGAAGCTTGTGCCCTGTTGGATTCTTGACACACCAAAGATTTCTGTTAGCTGTTAAATAGTGGCAGAGTTATAGAATTTTAAGTGTTATCGATATTTAAATAGGACTTAGCCAAAGAAGCACATAGAAGTCCTAAACTTTAAAAGTTCAGTTTCTGAAACAGGACTGTATATGTTTAACTGTTCTGTGTTTGTATCTCTAAAGTAAAATTTAGAGCTGTGCTTTGGGAATGTTCAGACTGACATGCTGTAAATACGTCTGGTAAGAAGCTGAATACTAGCGAGTACACAGCAATAATGAGGCCTTTGAATGCCACCTTCCAAAAGGACACTATCAAGTACTATCCTTCCTGCTTTCGAACTCCACCTTTATCTCGTTTCAAAAATAAAACCGTTTCTGTCATCTTTACACTCCATGGCTTGAAAATTGCTGTTTTATGTGTGGTTTTCAAGTTAACATGTATGTATCATATCCCTATTACTATGAGGATGTGAAACATTATTTCCAATGTCTGTAACAGTACAACTAAAACTCATCAATGGGGTCAGTGCAGTTCTCAGACTACAAAGCCTTTGTTATTTCTTGTCTGTTCTGTCCTACAATAGAAGTAAGTATTACAGGATTTTGATAAAACAGTGGCTTAAAGTAGTTGGTAACTACTTTTTCTTGTAAGGTCCAGTCCTTTTGCAAGGCAGTCTAGTAAAATACTGAAACAGAATTTAGAGCACATTTACTTGATAATGTCCTTTTAAAAATTCTTTCATGACTGTGCCTTTTACGTATATTCTGAATAGTGGCTTTTTGTCTAGTTCAGTTGATTATTCAGAAAGAGTTAAGGTCAATATCTTCCAGAGGGCTTCATGTTTTTGGGTGCCCAGCAAGAAATAGACTTTAAAAGGACTTGTTTTTCAGAAAAAGAAAAAAGGAAAAAAAAAAAAAGTTATAATCTTTGCTGTTTGGGTGAACAGATTTACTAGTCATTCCTGAAAATAATTACCTACTATTTCTTTGGCAATCTTTTATTTGCAGATAACAGATCTGTGTTTTTACCTGCTGGTCAGGCTGGATCATTGCCCGTTGACAATGAAAGAAAATAGGAAAGCTTATGTACTAGATACGTAGTTGGTTTTTTTTTGTTTTTTTTTTTTGTTTGTTTGTTTGTTTGTTTTTTGTCTTTTGTTTTAATACCATGAGCCATAATTTATGGCTTTGCATCTATTTAAATTCATGTATGAGCTAAGCACATTTTCATGGACTGGTACTTCATTTGGTAGGTGGAAGTAGCTAATCTCTGCTTGATGGAGGACGGTTCCTCTTAGGTGTACTGGTGTTGAAGGACAGATCTGAACCTCACAGCTGCATGGGTCGAAACTCCTTAGGTATCTTGTACCTCTGTTTTAATATGTGTATACTCATTCAATAGTGCATGTCCTGTTAACCTGGGGGGCATTTTTACAATAACAGCTGTGTTGTTTTTGGCACTAATTGACTCAGCTGGCTGTTTTTTGCCAAAGATGTGTCTCTCAAAATGTCTCTAAAGATTGAACAGTGGCACATTGTAAAATATTGGTCTTTTCCACATGCTGACCTTTGGGGAGAGGCATAGAAAGGTCTGTATTGGTACTGTAAACTACTGCATAGTTCTGAGAACTTCCTGCACTCATTCTGTAAACATTGAATTCCTCGGGTTTTGCTAAAACAATATTAGTAATTTCTGGTTGTTGACTGGATTACTGCCCTTATTTCTTTAAATGGATTTTATATTCCATTTTATTTATTTATACTGGAATTTCCTCCTTGAGCACTGACACTTTTCTACAGAGGTATGGCTGTAATGGATTCTTTTTATTCTGAGCATCAGTAATTGTAATGGTGGTGATATATCTTTTGTAAGGTTAGGGTTTCCTTAAAACATATAGTGTTACTTTAGTCTGGATTGTGATTTGGGTAATTATTTTTGAAGATGGGTCAGGTCAAAACACAAAGAAGAATTATTTGCTGTCAACAAAGTGCTAAGCTTATTTTCATAGTAACAGATGTGAAAGTATTCGGAATACTGAAGAATGCTTCAAAGGAGTAACATTGTGTAACATGCTTGATCAAATGCTGAATGTTGTTGAGTGATAAGGAATAAATGACCCTGAAGTTTGTTTCTAAAATAAGAATAATAATTTATTTGTAAAAACTCATGGAAAGAAAGATTACAATTCTGAGAAGGATGTTGCAGATTGTTGCAGGAAGCATGGCCGAAAGCACGACAGACACCAGTATGGTCAGATCATGCTTCATTTTATTGCCCAAATAGCCTAACTTTTATAGTGAACTTAACAGGGGCGGATAGTGTCTCACACAAGATTATTGGTCAAAAGCACTCAGATAAACAACTACAAGAAAACAACCCCACCTGCAAGAAAACAACCTCCTTGTGATTAGCAGTCACATAGACCTTGTCCTTAAAGCCAGCTGCTGGTAACAATGTTTTTCTCAATTGGGCAATGTGGGAGCACTGTCACTGGAACTTCTCATAGTCGTCCTGGTAGCTTGGTTTGCTCAGCTGCAGCAAGCCATGGGATCTTTGCTGTTTCAAAAACCCCTCAACAGTAGATGAATTATTTTTTTCCCCCTTAACCAGAAAGATTTTTTTTTGTTTTGTTTTGTTTTTTTTGTTTTTTTTTTTTTTTCCCCCTCTTTTTCTATACTGAGCATACATGCCTGCTAGATTCCAGGCTGCATGTTCTTCATATGACTATAGGAACTGTAAGAAGTCACTTTTTTTCCAGTATCATCTCCCAGTAATTAAGTTGTTTCATTGTATGCATTGAATAATAATACTTGCAGAATATAGTGCACGGCAGTCAGTGTTTAAGCCCATGAGGATCTTTTTCATAGTTTGTAAGAAATGTTTTGGCTTAAAAGGATTTGAAGCATTAAAGATGGTAATAATGGCATTTTTTTTTTTTTAATCCTCCATTACCATTTTGATCATGTTTAAATGTTGGTCCTTTTTAATGAAACAATAAGGTGAAATAAACTTCATATTTTGTCACTGGTATATGAAATACTGTGTTTTAAATGTGGTCTGTATAGGTTGATATTTTAGATGGAAGACTCTAAGTGCAGTTGTCTTTTTAGGAGAAATTCTTTGCTGTAAGGAAAAGTTAGGAAGTGTACTGTAAACGTAGAAGTACTCAGTCCAATGTGTAATTCTGTTTGTTATGGGAAAAGTGAAATTCTTTTGTCTTAACACTGCTTGCTTCACAGGATTTCTTGCAGTGTTACTTGATACAAGTTTTGATTTCTGCCTTTTTTTTGTTTGAACAGTGTGGAAATGCCATGGCCTGTACATCTTTAACTTTTAATGCTCTTGAAAGATAAACAGATGAGGCAATTTGGTCACGTTTGTGTGCGTCTCATTTTACTTTTTAAAATATTTCGTAAATTAAATTTATTTTAAAATACACTTTGCTTTGTAATAAATGTCTCAGTCTTCAAAATAGGACTATAATCAAAGTTTACAGTTTATTAAAGGAATAGAGGTAAGCAAACAGTGCTGGGTGCGCTGGGTCTCTGCTCCACCAAGATGCACACCAGTTACATCAAGCAGCTGATTTTTATGCTCCTAGGATAATACATATTCATTACTACTTCTAAAAAAAAAACAGGGTTATTATAATTAGTTTCCGGAATCCAAACCCTCCTACTGGAGCATGCGTATCAGTCTCTGGTGGTCCCTCTGGGGGTCTCTCGTGCTGAAGGCTCATAGCCTTCCTCCCTCTTGTCCTTCTCCTTTGTCCAACTTGGCTGTATGTCGGAGACTTGTGCAGCGTCCCCTGCAAGCTTTGTCTTTTAGTCGTTCTTCAGCTCTCTCTGTCTCCTTAATCTCCTGGCCAGATATCAGAGACTTGTATAGTGTCCCATGCAATAGGACACTGTTATAGGACATAATAGTTTGCAGTTATTCTGAAACCCCCCAGATATCAGAGACTTCAAGAAAAACCCTACAAATACGTTTCCCTTCAAGCTCTCTATTGACACGAATTGCTAAAGCATTCCTTTGCAAGATACAAGAATTATATACATTAACCACTCTGTGGTTATACAAGGGTATGTAAGACAGAAGGCCATACTGACACCAATCAGATGAACGTATCTCACACCTTCAAGTGATTTTCTTCTTTTTATTTTTTCTTTGAGATGGGGAAGAGGTGGCAGCACCGAGCTGAGCCCACCTTTATTTGTACGCTTATTTATTTTTATTTTTTGAGCAGCGCCGCGGGCCGGGCCCCGCCGCCGCCTCAGGGCGGTGCCGGGCGGTTTGAACCAAACGCCCCGCGCCCATTGGCGGCGCAGCGAGGCGGGGGCGGAGGCGCCGGGTTTGAAGCGGGGGCGGAGGCGCGGCCGTTGGCACTCGGGGCGCTGCTGCTCCTGCGGCCGCGGGGGGCTCCGGCCATGGCTGCCTGGGACCTGAGCTGCGCGGCCAAGCCTCGCAGGCGGCGCTGGTCCGAAGATGAGGAGGACCCCGCCGTGCTGGTGCTCAGCCACTTCTCCCGGCCGCCCCACCTGAGTTTCGGCAGCCTGCGTGTCGGCGCCTCCCGCACGCGGCTGCTGGGCATCCATAACCCCAACGCGGAAGATGTCGAGGTGGTGGTGGAGCGCGTCCCGCCGCCCGCCCGGGGCTTCAGCATCGGGTGCCGCCGCTTCTCATTGCAGGTACCGGGCGTGAGGCGAGGCGAGGCGGCTTCGGGGCCCCCTCCCCCGAGGGGAAAGCCGAGGGGCTCGTCCTAAAAAGGGGGGGAAGGAGGGCGAAAATTAGGAATAAATGCTTGCGGTTCGGAAGGAAATCTTGGGCACGGCTGATGGAGCCCGTGCTGACTTGTGGTGGGCAGTTATGACGGGCTGGGACCTGGGAGCTCGGGGGGGGCTCCCCGCAGGTTGCTCGCAAAGCGGGGCTTAAAAAGCAGGCTGGACCCTCACCATGTGGTGTTTGGGTAGCTACTTCCCGTGGTAATTCATAAATATTAGGTGTTGTATGCAGTAGAACTTGCCAAAGCACACGCTGGATTATGTCATCGTGAAATGGACTTGCCCAGAGGCGGAACTCCTCATTCAGATGCTCAAAAGACAGGTCGCTGTCACGCCCCTTGAATTTGTCTGTGGTGTGACCGCAAATACAACAGTTGGTCTGTTAGTACTGAGATCTGCAGGGTGCTGAAGTGATCTGGTAGGTCGCTGGATGAAGAACTGTAACACAGATCTGGCACAGGGCTCCACGGCTTCCCTGCTTGTTTATTTATTTATTTTAAAGTCTGCTTGTATTTACATATACTGGGGCAAAGCTGACGTTTAGTAATCATTTGTCACTTCATGATGTCAAAATATGCATTCCTTCTGTGTACTGGTTTTCATTTGATTTGAATACTCTATCTTGGATGTTAGAAAAACTTAAGTAAGTGCTATGTATTAAACATTTATTTCTCTCCATTAGTCAGGACAAACCATCTCTGTTTCTGTAACGTGGACACCATTAGAAGAGGGCAAGGTCAGAGAACTGATAACATTTGTTATTAATGGCATCATAAAGCATCAAGCTGTGCTCTTAGGCGTTGCTGAACAGCCTGTGAAGAAAAAAGTGAGTATGTTTTTATTGTCTGAACTAATTTTATTATTTTGGCATAGTTGAAACATACTGTTTTTATTAGTTAAAAAGATCAGTGCAGGAGAATTAAAAATGGATAAATGTTGTTTGTGGGAGAGTCTGTTACATTTAAACTTTTTTCCAGCAGGCTGGGAAAATAGATACTGGTGCATTATATTGCTTAGAGAATAAAACTTGATACACACACAAAAACAATCAGTAATGGAAATAAGTTATAGTGAGTTTTGGACTAGGTGTATTATAGGAATGTATTCTTATATATGTAATAATATTCCTATATATATTATTGTATATAGTGTATAATACAATATGTATAATATTTTTATATATATTTACTATTATTATATAATCCTATATATAATGTTTGCTTCTACACAAATGTATGTAGAAAGTCAGCATACTAAACTTTCTTTATGGTTCCTTTTCAGAAGAGTCTCTGGGAAACTATGAAAAAGAACAACATTGCAGAAACATCGGCGTCAATAAAAGTTAAAAAAAGAAATTCAGAAGTTAAACATGTTAATGAAACCTTTGAAGTTTCTCAGAAGGTAGAGAGACTAAGGAGCCCACTTCAGTCATGTGAAAATCAGAACATAGTGGAAAACAGTACATCCCCGGGAAATGACTCTCTTATTGGCTCAGAAAATAAATTGCCTTTATCTCCGATTTCACCTGTGCTACAGCAATGTCCTAATACTGCTTACACACCAGTTTCAATGAGAAGATCTACTACTTTCTCAGATATTGCTTCTGCTGTATGTGAGAAGTTACTGCCCGAAATAGACTTCTATAATATCAATAAATCTGTTGATAACCATGATGAATTGAAATCTGAAAGTGCATACAATTTTACTGGATTAGAAAGAACACTAAATTCAAATAATGAAGCAATTCTTAATTGTAAAATCTCACGTGTTTGCATTCCAGAACATTCGGCATCTGTGCCCATTTTAAGTACAAGGAGAATTTTAAGTCCAGATTCTTTTGTGAATGACCGTCATCATGTTGATGTAGATACAACAGAGCAGTGTGTTCCAATTCTGTCACCTGATCAGTTTGTGAAAGACAGCTTAGCACATGTACAACCAAAGACTCCTAAACCTGAGACGGCTTTAATATCTTCTGCTATGGGAACTTATGTCGTGAAGAGATTTTTGCCCCCAAAATGGAATAAAAATGGAGACGGAGAGACAAAAACACAAGTCCACGTAAACTACGTGTTAAATGAAGCCTTTGAGACACACAACGTAGAATCACAGGTACTTCATTATAGCAAACCCAAAGAAAATCAGTCAAAATTTCCTTCTACAGAGGAGCTCCAGACATCCAATTCTCAAGCAGAGCAAACAAAAAAGCGATCGGTTCTTTCTGCCACAGTCATCAAAAAGAAGCCTGATGCTGGTGAAGGAAGAAGAATGGAAACTCTCCAGCCAAAATCTAAAAAATGCCTTAATAGAGCAATAAAGGATTGTGAAAATGTGGTGCCTGTATATACAAAGGTAGAAATATCGAAACACCTTCCAGTTACAGATCCAGTTTCAGCTGGAAATAAGTGTCACAATGAAAAAATAAGTTCACAGCCTACTGCTGGATCAACTTCTTTGTGTCGTAAGAGGAAAAGCGAAATAAATATAGAAAAAAATAGAGTTACAGACCCAGTGTATGTGGAAGAAGTGGAAAGAAAAAGAACTCTAACTAGCATGTACAATAAAAAGAAAACACACACTGCTGTGACAACATCTGCCTTCAAACCTACAAACCAAGGGAGAGTAGGGCTGAAAAAGAAAGCTGGTGAGTAGTATCTTCATTTACACCTTTCGGAAACATGCTTTTGATTATGAAATTTGTATAGCAAACTGAACTGTCTAGCAGCAGTCAAGGATATTTCATCTCACTGAAATATGGGTTTTTGCATTTTCTTTTTTAGATATTACCTGCATTTTACAAGGTTGAAAACTAGATCAGAATTTTGGTTATGTAATTGGCTTAAAATTTATTCAATTCTTTTGTAAACCTTGGCAATGACAGCAACAGGAAAAGTATCAGTTCCTGGGCAGAGTAATTCAAATTTACAGGAAACTTGATCACTTTAGAAGTGATTTCTGTCACGTGTACATTTACCATTGTGCATATTTGAATTCACAGCTGTTGTTGTGTATTTTCAAATATGTTGTTTCTGAGTCTGTTTTTTTTTTTTTTTCTTTTTATAATTAGTCTGGTATCAGTCTTGTGTAGATCTTTCTGTCTTTACAGTTTGCTGATGTTTTGACCTTCAAGCAGCAAAGTAAGTTGACTTCTTGTATTTCAACATTCTTTGGGTTTCAAAATGTTCCACTCCCAGTTGTGCTTTGGAATACAAGAAGAATGTGTGTCACTACCTGAAGGAAGCACTCTGTTTCCTGAATCTTCATGCAATCCCTGCAATACAACTACCAGGAAAAATTATTACGGCTTTCAGATTAAAATAGCATGTGCTGCTTTCTTCAGTTCTTCAGATGATCTATTCTATCTAGATTTGATTTTCAGCCTTGAGTTCAGGCTTTTTAAGACAGTGTACATAAAAACTCACTAGGTCTGTGTTCACCAGGAAAAGCAGTATTATATACCAGATTATTTCTGTTCCTCCATTTGCATAAAGGTAGGTGGGCTGGACAGGAAAGTATTCTGAGAGCCTAACATTTCTTAGGTGTCTCTTGATCCTGGCTGTAAAATGCAAAACTGATAACAGCTTTGAATTATACTCTATTTGTAGCAATTTTTCTTCCAAAAAATGTCTTGGTATTTTAATTGCTTTTGGAGACAATGCAGTAGGTGCTGCTTGTAGTAGTGGAATGTGATTTTTCTTTGTGAAGCCTGAAAATTAGCTTTGAAATATCCATCCTTAGGGTAATCCACCTGAAATCCAACTTAAAAGCACTCAAAACATTATTAAAAAGCTATTAGATTTGTGTGAGAGACTGGAATAAGCATGAAAAAAGCTAAGCATGAGTGCAACCTGTCATTTATGATCTCTTATATTTTTTTCATCTGAAATAGCGTCTTGTTAGTGGGTATCAGACAGCAACCACTGACCATTTGCAAAAGCATGCATTTTTTAGTCTTCATTTGACGTCAGCATAAAGTGTTCGCATTAAGTATATGTTTTCATGTGTTGAGAATTAGAAAGTGTGTATCTATTTTTTACCTGTGTTTTAAGTCCTTCTACCACTAGGTGGTAGATAAAACTTAACTGCTAATACCTTGATGCCTAAGGTAATACACTCAGGCTGCTATAAAATGAACATCAATGTAGCATGCAATCTAACTGGAGGAAGAGGTCAATCAAGCTCCAAAAAACCATGCATTTTACCCAGATGTTCACAGAATACCCAATTTCACATATCCTAATAAATGTTTCTACCAATTACATTAGCTTTGTATTTCTAGGATATGATAATAAATCTAAAAACCTCAAAATGAAGGGGACCAAGGGGACCACTTTTTTTTTTTTTTTTTTTTTTTTAGGTAAGCAATTTATCTCTAAGGCTACCCTATGACTATCTAGAGGATACAGAAAATTTTACGCGTGTTGTGTGTTAACGTGTTCTGTTGCTTGTTCGGCTGAGACCAGGGTGCAGTATTTGAGTACGTGTAGTGGAAGAACCAGGGAATACAATAGTCCTTATTTGCTCTTAACTGTTTTTCCCATGTGTATTGTAGACAAACTGCTTAAATTTTTCCATCATCAAGGGATCGCAAGTATGTTGATGGGGATTTATAGGGAATCACTCCAGTTCTTTGCTGTACAAGTGATATGAACCTTAATATGTTAACTTTCACTGACATCTGCGTCACTGATGTGTTCTAATACTTGTAGGTTCTTCCCTTCAGGGAGCATCAAAAACTGCCAACAAAATTAATAAACCCATTGCTGGATTGGCTCAGTCTCACCTGACGTTTTTGAAACCATTGAAAACAGGTAGGCAGACTTCTGGTATTTAGTAGAGCAATATCCACTGAACTGAATATCACAACTGCTGTACTGCTGTCTGTAGTTGAGACCCAACTGAGTAGAGTATGAAATAGAAGGTTGTACCCACAGTGAAAAACAATTAGTAGAAAAATTTATATACCTTTCATAATGTGTCTGCATCATAAGAAAATTGGTTGCCACACTTAGTCAGCTGAATGTAAATATTCCTTTCCTCTGTTTTTGCATGTAAGTGTAAAAAACTACAGGTGTGTTCCCAGGGGACTGATGGATGTCAGTGAAAATGCTTCTTCCACATCTGGTAATTTTACTGTAACAGAATACCTAAGAATAGAAAACTACCTGCCAAAATGATACTTATTTTGCAACTCGTATTAATACTAAGTTGATCTGATCAGAAAAATATATTTATAAAATGGTTGTTCCTGGCAGTAATACAACTGGACTTGGTTTTGATCCAAGACATGCATTAAAAACTATTTTAAAAATATATTTTTAGATATTAAAACCACACATATTAGATAGTAAAAATAATAAGAATATGGGTTCTTGTATTTGATCTAGTGCTTTAATAACTTAATGCAGGATTTGTGGGTAAAATTTATTTAACAGCTGACCTGTTTTTTTTTTTTTCTGCTATAGTGCTAAATAGAGTATCAAACTTTAATATTTTCCACGATAAGGCATATAATGCTTATCATGTGTTTCAAGAAAGGCTGTTCTTTAAATAGCAATCAAAGAAGGAGAGACTTATTTATTTATTTATTTTAAGTCATTCCTAGGCACCCAATGCCTTTTGCAGCTAAAAATATGTTTTACGATGAACGTTGGAAGGAGAAGCAACAACGAGGTTTCACATGGTGGTTAAATTTTGTACTTACCCCTGATGACTTCAGTGTAAGAACAAACACCTCACAAGGTAGAGACAAGAATTTTCACTTTATCTTTTAATATTCTTAAATGTTACATAAGGTGCCTTGTTCATATTAGTGAATAGGGGTCCTTGTTTAACAGTAACCCCAACTCATCATTTTACTTTGTGTAGCATTATGCTTTTCTGTAAGAGTACATCTTTTTTTTTTTCCATTTTTTTGTATATTATATGCATTTTCAACCTTTGACTTAATACTGTGATAAGCTTAAAGTAAATATTTGGTGATGGGTTTCAGTGGCAGTTGGGCTAAAAAATATGGAGTATACTAAACCAAAGGCAATTCTAATGTTGGAGGTGGTGCTGTGCAAGATGCATTGGAACAAGGAATACACACTGGAACTTGTGGCTGCAGTACCTCTCTGTGGGTGTTGAGTGGGGAATCCCCACCTGCTGAGAAACGTTATAGTTGCTGCTGTATTAAAATGATGATAATATACTTCTCTCTCTATTTTCAACCTAAAATTCTGAAGGTTGTCAAATTCATTTTAGAACTAAATTTCCAGCCCAGCCCTTATTAGCCCATTACTTTAGGAAATAAGTGTTGTTATAACAAATATGTGGCTAATATATGTCTTGCCAGGTACAGGAATATAATGCAACAAACGATAAGCTTCCTGAGGAACTGTTGCAGGAAGCACAGCCGAAAGCTCAACAGATACCAGTAGAGTCAGATCATGCTCCATTTTATTGCACGAATAGCCTAACTTTCATAGTGAACTTAAGAGGGGTGGATAGTGTTTCACACCACACAAGAGTATTGGTCAAAAGCACTCAGTCAAACTACTACAAGAAAACAACCCCACCTGCAAGAAAACAACCTCCTTGTGATTAGCAGTCACATAGACCTTGTCCTCAAAGCCAGCTGCTGGCAACAATATTTCTCTAAATTCCTCAATTGTGCAATGTGGGAGCACTGTCATGGGAACTTCTCATAGTTGCCCTGGTAGCTTGGTTTGCTCAGCTGCAGCAAGCCATGGGATTTTTGCTGTTTCAAAAAATCCCTCAACAAGGAACAAAATTGTTACACAGAAGTAACATAACATTGTGAACATAGATGGGGCAAAACTACTTTTGTTTGAGATCTAAGGGCATACTTTTTGTGTGTGCATTTAAACAGTAAATGCAGCTGCTCTTATCTTGGGAGAAGAGAACCATCATAAAACCAGTGTTCCCAAAGCACCAACAAAAGAGGAAGCATCTCTAAAAGCCTATACTGCCCATCGTAGATTGAATAAGTTACGACGTGATGCTTGCCGTTTATTTACATCTGAAGAAATGGTTAAAGCTATTAAGAAGCTGGAAGTTGAGATTGAAACTCGACGTTTGATAGTTCGTCGAGACAGACACCTCTGGAAAGATGTAGGTAAGAATGATAAAAATTTGCATACTTAGAAAAAAGTAGAAAAAAGTTTACTCATACGCTTAGTTGATTTACTCTAAAATAGATTGTTAGGAATATTATCTATAACACGAAATTTTTGCTAGATGTAATATTATAAGATGTTCTCTTGCAGGAGAGAGACAAAAAGTCCTTAACTGGCTCTTATCTTATAACCCTTTGTGGCTGCGTATAGGTCTGGAGGTAAGTGCAGAATATGTGGTCTATAATCAAAGTTTTAGAGAGATCTAACAACCTTTCTAGTAGGGAGTGTTTTGTGTTTCTTTGTATTTTCTGTTTTATTAATCCAAGTAAGTTCAATTTAATTATAGTGAGTTTATGTGTCTTGCTTTATTATAACAGACTTGCTTTAAAAACATTTACCTTATTAAAAAAAGAAAATATTCAATCAAGAAAAGTGAGAATTAACTCCCCGACCAATAACAGAAGAGCAGTTCACAGTCTGACTCTTAGAGGAAAATGTGTCTTTCTTAAGAGAACTACTGATTGATTGATTCCTGAGATATAGATGATCAAATGTTTTTATATGAGACAGAATATTCTAAAATTTCCTTTGGTTCTATCCTTAAGTCAATATTTTGAACAAATTGATTTTTAGAGGCTAATAAACATTTGCTATTACAAAATTTCAGTATTAAATGATATTCACAAACACATACATTGTTTAGGGTCATTTTTAATGGTTATGCTTTTTTCCCTTTTCCTTCATATTAGACTGTTTATGGGGAACTGGTACCTTTGGAGAGCAATAGTGATGTTACGGGCTTGGCAATATTTATTCTTAATCGCTTGCTCTGGAACCCTGATATTGCAGCAGAATATAGACATCCCACTGTGCCTCACCTTTATCAAGAAGGTAATGGGTATTTTCCAAAATAGACTATTTGTAGCACTTAATTTTTGAACTGACATTTAATGGGTTCTATCTTTTTAGGCCATGAAGAAGCTTTGTCAAAATTTACACTGAAAAAAATGCTGCTGTTAGTTTGCTTTCTGGATTGTGCCAAACAGTCCAGACTGATTGACCATGACCCTTGCCTCTTTTGCAAGGATGCAGAGTTCAAGGTAAGAGAGCTGTGATCTGAAATCTTTGTCCAATATTGTTCTATGTAATATGAATATTCTGTGACTGAATGTAGGACACATGTTTTTTATGCCTTTAGGTGCATTTCTTTAACAAGTATTGGCTGTTGATGTTTCTATGTGAACATTCTCAGTATATGGTCTCATGGTTACGAAAAAATTTCCCAAGAAATCTTTGAGGTGTTGGTTCTGTAGAAAGGACTCCGTTATGTTGCATTAACTTGCTTTCCTCTCTGAAGCTAAGCTTCTGCAATATTTTTAAATATCACTGTAGCATACTGCAGCTGATCTGAAACTCCAAGTAAGTCCAGGCTTTTTTCTTGTCTTCTCTTGTTCTGCTGTAATAAGAGATGATGCAACATCTGTCATAGAAACTCTTTGATTAACAAATCTTTGCTATGCTGAAATAAAATTTTCTTTAGTTCAGTATGTACTGTGTAGACAGACTGTGATTATTATTTTTTTTTAATATTAGTATTTAAGGTGTGTGTCTGTTTGTTTGTTTTAAGACAAGTAAAGACATTCTGCTGGCAATTTCTCGAGGCTTCCTAAGTGGTGAAGGTGACCTTTCCCGTCATCTTGGTTTCCTGGGACTACGTGTCAGCCATATTCAAACTCCACTTGATGAATTTGATTTTGCTGTAACAAATCTGGCTGTGGACTTACAATGTGGTATTCGTCTTGTGTGCGTTGATAAAGAATTATTTTGAACTATTCATTTTCTTTTATATAATACTTAATACGAGCTTAGCTAAGCTATTAAACTGTGACGTTCCCTTTTTTAGGAGAGCAATGGAACTTCTCACCAAAGACTGGAGTCTTTCAAAACAGTTGAGAGTTCCTGCAATAAGTCGTCTACAGAAGATGCATAATGTTGATATTGTTCTTAATGTCCTTAAAGAGCGAGGAATTCACTTGGAGGATGAGAGTGGTAAGGCCTAAAAATCGGAGTTATTCTAAGCCTATTGTAGGACTAGTGCACATTTCATTTCTTTGTTTTATTTAATAGGTGCTTCAATTGACTGTAGGGATATTGTGGACAGACACAGAGAACGAACATTAGCACTGCTGTGGAAAATTGTCTTTGCTTTCCAGGTACTACTCGATTACTTTTTTTTTCATTTCTTACTAATTACAAGTGAAAGATAATGGAAAACATTAGTGCTTCAGCAATTATTTGTTGTCTGTGAAGGCTTCTACTAATCAAATTTTAAACCGTGGAACGATCTACTTTGTATGTTTGAAGTGCAGTGCAAACATTACATGACATTCTTAACAGTACATTTTAACCTTTTAATTATGCTCTTTCTTGTATACCTTCATAAAAGATTTTGGAGGGGGAAAACAAACAAACAAAAAAAACACTACTTTTGAGCTTCTGTTCTTAATGCTACCAGAACTGACAATTAGACTAAAATAATGTTGGTCTCTAAATGCTGTTAAGTTCTTACTAACTGAAAAGGGAATGTGGGAAATCAAATTTCGAATCAGCTTGTGAGGTCACTCTGACAGACAAATATAGAGTAAGCTCTATCTTTTTTACTATATCTTTTTGTTTTATCTATACTGAAGCTGTATCTTTTTAACTTTTTTCCAATTATCTCAAAACAGTAAATTTGAAGAAATGTTCAGTAAGCTGGTCTTTAACAGTTTCCCACAAAACAGTGAGAGCGTGGGTTTAAGTTCTTTATTTCAAGCAGTTGGTAGCTGCCACTGCCACCTATGCTGGCAAATCTAGATTACCACTACTGATTCAGTGTGGCAGATAGTGAGAGTGGTTTCTCTTTAAAATGCTATATATAAAACTTATACATTCATCTGCTACAATGCATAGCAAAATAAAATTTTTTTTCTTCCTAATAGGTGGATGTTCTTCTTAATGTGGAACAGTTAAAAGAAGAAATCATGTTTTTAAGGAATGCACATAAGATAAAAACACAACTGGGCACTCTCAAACTTTTTTCAAATTGTTGTAGAATACAAGAAGATAACAGTCGTAGCTCCTTACCTCAGAATTACAGTGAAAACATGAAGCTGCTGATGGCATGGGTTAACGCTGTTTGTGGATTTTACAATATAAAGGTAAAATGCTTACTCTTTAAAGAGCACAATTCTTCAATTTCAAATTCTTTCATGTGTATTAACAGCCAATGGTAATTAGTTTTAAACATTCCTACATTCTTCTCAACTTTATTTAATCTGATTTGGATTAATCATCTTACTGTGGATGTACCTGCAGAAGACAAATTTGAGTAAAAGGATTTCCCCTTCTAGCTAATCTCATGTATAAAAATGCCTTTTAAAAATATAGTTGGAGTTCTAGTTGGAGGTGGTTTATAGTTTTTTTTCTTTTTTTTTTTTTTTCAATTGGTATTCATCCTAAACAGATTTGCACATAAAATTTTCACCGTTAGTAGGAACTGTGAGCATTAAACTAATGTTTAGGCTAAGGAGGATTCCTTTCATCAGAGGTGTTTATTCAAAAGGGTCGTGTTGTTGGTTGTTCCCTCTTAAGAAGAGAGGCCCTGTTCAGACTTGACTCTGATCAGAGTAATGTCACACTTGATAGTTTTTCCTGACGGGCAAAATAGAACATTTGAAACTAATGCAAGTTCAGACCTTATTTCTGCACTGAAGACCTTAAAAGCTATCTCTAGAAGTTTCCTGGGGATCCTTCAATAGAAATACCGCTTTCTGTTGGGTTTCTTAAGTCTCTCTCTTGAAGATTCACTGTATAGTGGTTCACACCTGTGTTGCAGATTTCTTACAGCTACGTGCCAATGTACAGTGAATGTTCAAAGGAAGCACTGATTTTGTAACTTTTTCTCTTTGTCTAAAATAAATTTGCAGAATTCATACTTGGTCATTTGCAAAGGTGCAAGATGAAAAATTCTATATCCAGTTTATACCGATTAACTGGTACCAAAAATTCAAGGAACTTGTAACTTACTGTATTTTATTAAACAGGTGGAGAATTTCACAGTCTGTTTCTCAGATGGTAGAGTACTGTGTCATTTAATTCATCATTATCATCCATGTTACGTGCCTTTGGAAGCTGTGTGTCAACGTACAACTCAAACAGTAGAGTGCTCAAGAACTCATATGGTGGGACTAAACTTATCCTCATCCTCAGAGTCTGATACTTCTCTAAATGTTATGGAAGGAACATTTGACCAAAGTAAGTTATTTAATATAAGAAAACTCATGTTAAATCTGTTTCTCTTGTATCCAATCTGATCTGACAAATATTTTCTCTTTGCAAAGCCTCAGTCATGTACAAGGAATTGTTGGACAATGAAAAGAAGAACTTTCAGCTGATCAGTACTGCAGTTTCTGACCTAGGTGGCATACCAGCAATGATTCATCACTCAGACATGTCAAATACAATTCCTGATGAGAAGGTGAGATAGCTGCCTTTAGAGTTGAAGTAAATGTGTCCTGCTGTCCTGTCTGTAGTCCTTAACTTGCTGCTTTCTGTGTTTAAATAGGTTGTTATTACCTACCTATCATTTCTGTGTTCGAGGCTTCTAGATCTTCGGCAAGAAACCCGAGCTGCTCGATTAATTCAGTCTGCTTGGAGGAAATACAGGCTGAAAAAGGAACTGAAACTTTCTCAGGTACTCTTTGCTTCTGCAATCTCGTGGCTCCTACTTTGAGAAAAACTAAATAAAGAGTATAACTTCATTGTTTGGAGTATACAAGTTTATTAGAATAATATTGACATTTAATTTTAGCACCACTATTATCCAAATGTACATGTATAGGCTTCTTGGTAATTACTAAATTTAAGAAGTAGTTACTTTTGTTTAAAGGGGATTATTCTTTAAAGACTATTGTACTTTAGGGTTTCTTTCAGTTTCTAACTTCTAACTAAAGTGTGGCACCCCTCAAACCCTTTTTCCAAGTCAAATATGAAACTGTTACACTGCTTCCTTGAAACAAAGAGTTGTTCCTTTTCAATTCCTATTAATATCTCTTTGTAGTTTGTAAAATTAAACCTGCACATGGATTTAATATTTTTGTTTAGGTGCTGAACTTCACCAAAGTGTTTTGAGTCAAGTTGCATGGTATTTTCTTTCTTACTTTTTTTGGTAGTTATGTCAGATCTTGTGATGGCTTTAAAACTATGACACTATTAAGGCTGATAAACACCATCACTGTATCTGAGATGTTTTAGAAACTCAAGCAGTGTTCAAGTGAAATATTTTGAGAATCTGTGGAATAAAGGGGGGATTTTTTATCTCAAATTTCTTTTTTTTTTTTTATTAAAAGTGTACAGCCTTAATGTTAATGATAAAACATTTCCTTTATAACTGTTTTTCAATAGTGAATAGCAAAGGTGCTTGAGGGAGATGTCAAAGAAAACACATAAGCTTTGCAGACATTATTTTGAATTTAATCTTGCAATGTGCTCAAGTACGCTCTGCCATGTTACCATGTGGATAGTCTACTAGTAGGGATCTGACAAGACGAGCTACTTACTGAAGTTTTAACTCTGTAAGTTGCTTTTTCCTGTTGCCCTGATGTTTATCAGTCTGTTACTATGACCTTTGGGTTATTATGAAAACACAGATAGATGTAAACAAAAATCTGGGCTGGATGGACATGATCCAGTGTGACTGTCTTTGTACTCAGGTTATTTCAGTATAGCTGGAAAACACTGGTATGTCAGTTAATATGGATATCTTAAACTCTTATGAATGAGAACTAAAATTGAGCTTTAAAAAAGGTTAACTTAGGAGTGCTAAAAAAAAATAGAGCAACAAGAACTATCAAGGTGGGAAGATGCAGATTTAGGTGATACCACACTTTTACAAAAAAACTTAATGCTGAATTAAACGTTTTCTGTTTAAGAAAAGTTCTTGCCATAGAATAAAGAAAAACTGTGTTATCAACAAGCCTAATTTTTATAAGATTGCTTTAGATGGTCATTCTAATACATCAAAATATGGGTGGAAATTGCAATCCTAACTGTTCAGTGGAAATTGACTCTTTGTAGGAAAGAGACAGAGCTGCTCGGATAATTCAAAAACATGCAATAAACTTCTTGTCTCATCGACGTATCTTGAGGAAAAACAATGCAGCAGTGTTAATCCAGAAGCACTGGAGAAGATGCTTAGCCAGGATGAAGTTTTTAAAACTAAAAAACTCAAAACTGGAGGAAACCAGAAGTAAATCTGCCACAGTAATTAAGGTAATATGATATAAAATGAGATTACACATCAAGGTAATATGATATAAAGTGAGATTCAAGGAAAACTCTCTGAAACCTATAAGAAAAAGGACTGCTCAGGGACATTTGTTCTGCTTACAGCAGCAGATGTTTTCACGAGAACGTACATGTAATACACTTTTTTCCTTTTTTGACATGTTTTGGTAATTTTCTCTCTCCAGAGAGAAATGGTAATATGCTTTTAAGTCTATACTTGTTCCTTCTTAGTATATATTTTGTGCTGATATGCCATAAATATTAAAACACTGGACCATAACCAAGGCAATGTAAGGACCAATCAGATTGTTCTGGCTTGCTTCTTTACAGCTGCTGAACACCGTTAAAGAAGCCAGACAATAATTGGCCACCTAATGTTATGATACCTGCATTGAGCACTTTAAGAATGCCAAAAATTAGTTACCAGCTGGTAGTTAGTAATTGATAGTTAATGTAGTTTCTCAAGATACTATTCCCAGCTGTTACCCAAAGCCATATATTACATTCTTAGGACTTTTTGTAATGGATTTTAAAGATTCACTGATTTATCACATAGTTTAACAGGGAATCTTTTTGTTGCCAGGGCAAATTTAGTGCTTGTTTTCTGGAATTTAAAGTGCTAAAAAAACAAGGTTTCAAGCATTTGGACGTTGTTTTTTATTTAGGTATCTAGGCTTATCTTCATGGAGGTTAAGTAGAAGTACACAAATCTTAATAAGTCTGAGGGCAGTAGTTGTCAAGATTAGACTTAAGCTATCATAAAGAAAATACTAAATTATTTTTTTTTTTGCAGGCTTATTGGAGGAGATACTATGCTAGGAAAAAATATTTGCAGCTAAGATACTATGTTATCTTTATACAAGCAAAGAGAAGGATGGTAATGGCTGTTTCTGCATATAAACAAATTGTTTGGGCTACTGTTACAATTCAGAGACATCTGCGGGCAACTAAGTTGGCAAAAGAAGATCGACAAAGATATGAAATCTTAAAGTCTTCAGCACTTACTATTCAGTCTGCATTCAGAAGATGGAGAAAACGCAAAATGCAGCAGAAAATTAGAGCTGCTTTAGTGCTCCAGACTTATTTCCGAAAATGGCAATCTTCAAAACTGGCTAAAAGAAGAAGAGCTGCCCTTGTCTTGCAGTCTTGGTACAGGATGAACAGAGATCTGAAACGTTATCTACATATTAAGCAAAGTGTTATCAAGATTCAGGCTTGGTACAGGTGTCAGATAGCTAGGCATATTTACCAGCAGCATAGGGCACAAATAGTGACCATTCAGCAGTATTACAGAGCTTATATATTAGGAAAAAATGAGAGAGAGAACTACTTGCGAAAGCGTGCAGCTGTAGTAGTTCTCCAAGCTGCTTTTAGAGGCATGAATGCACGTATACTATACAGGCAAACCAAAGCAGCTTGTGTTATTCAGTCCCGATGGAGAATGAGACAAGAGAAACAAAGATTTTTACAATTAAAAAAACACATTACTACCTTGCAGTCACATGTGAGAAAATACCAACAGGTAAAAAGATACAAAGAGATGAAAAATGCTGCTTCTGTAATTCAAGCTTGGTATAGGGCATGTGTGGATTCTAAAAAAGCAGCCTTGTCTTTCCAGAGGATGCGTCTGGCTACTATTGTCCTACAGTCTGCCTACAGAGGAAGGAAAGCTAGGAAAGAGGCACACATATTGAGATCTGTGATAAAAATTCAGTCAAGTTATCGTGCTTATATTGTCCGGAAGAGATTTAAAGACTTAAGAGATGCAACAGTGAAAATACAAGCTTTTGTAAAGATGAGACAAGCACGTAGGTATTATTGTGCGTTACTGGAGGCAACGCTTTATGTCCAGCAAAGGTATCGGTCTCATAGATATGCTCTTCAACTTAGAGAAGATTATAGAAAATTGAAGGATGCTTGCATAAGAATTCAAGCTGTAGTTCGAGGCTATCTTGTCAGGAAACAAATACAGAAGTGGACAGATACTGCAGTATTTCTTCAGGCACGATACCGAATGAGAAGGGACAGGACACGTTATTTAATCATCTACAGAGCTGTTGTTGTCATTCAAAAACACTATCGTGCATACCAAAAACAGCTCTGCCAGAGGCAGGAGTTCTTACAAGCTAAAAAAGCAGCCGTGTGCTTACAGGCAGCCTACAGGGGTTATAAAGCACGTAAAATGCTTAAACTTGAATATAGAGCTGCTGTTAAAATTCAGACTGCTTTTCGAGCTCATGCTGCAAGAACGAAGTATCAGGCCATGATTCAGGCCTCCATTGTGATTCAGAGATGGTACAGAACTTGCAAGACTAAAAACAGGCAAAGATTGACCTTCAGACTTATGAACCACGCTGTACTAATTATCCAAAAACATTACAGAGCCAGTGTCATAGGCCGAAAGCAACGGCAAGAGTATATTGAGCTGCGTAACTGTGTAGTACGTCTTCAGGCCATATGGAGGGGGAAAATGGTGAGAAAAAAAATTCAAAAGGAACACCATCTCGCAACTATTATTCAGTCCTATTACAGAATGCATGTAAATCAACTACAATTTAAAAAAATAAGACATTCGACTTTAGTGATTCAGAGATACTTTAGAGCTTACTATATGAAAAAACAACAACGTGCACTTTATCTAAAAACAAAGGCAGCTGCATTAGTCTTGCAGTCTGCTTACCGTGGGATGACTGTGAGGAAACAATTGAGGAAACAAAGAAAAGCTGCTACAACCATACAAACAGCCTTCAGATCATATGTGGTGAAAAAGAACTATGTAACACTTAGATCTGCAGCTATAGTAGTTCAAAGGCACTATCGCGCAGTTATTCATGCTAAATGGCAAAAGCAAAAATACTTATCTTTAAAAACAGCTGTAGTCAAAATGCAGGCAATTTACAGAGGTATGAAAGTCAGACGACAAATTCACCGTATGCACCAAGCAGCTATTTGTATTCAAGCCATGTTTAAGATGCATCGCATAAACATTAGATATCGGGCAATGAGAATGGCAGCAATTATAATTCAAAGACAACATAGAGCATTTTGTTTAGGTAAAGTACAGCGTCAGAAGTACTTGGAGCTTAAGAAATCCACCATTATCCTTCAGGCTGCCTGTAGAGGCATGAAAGTTCGACGAGACTTAAAAACTATGCACCAGTCAGCAGCAATGATACAGTCGTATTATCGAATGCACAGACAACAAAGGGATTTCAGAAACTTGTTGCTGGCAACTAGACGGATTCAACAGTGGTTCCGTGCTTGTAAGGAGAGAAATGCACAAGTTCATAACTATATGACCGTGAGAAGTGCTACACTTCGTCTCCAGGCTGCATTCCGTGGCATGAAAACAAGAAGACTTTTAAGAACCATGACAGAATCTGCTGAGGTTATTCAGAGAAGATTTAGAACTTTTCTCAAAAGAAAACATTTTATTTCCCTTAGGACAGCTGCTATTGTAATTCAGAGAAAATACCGAGCAACAAAACTAGCAAAAATTCAACGTCAAAAATACCTCTCATTCCTTAATGCTGCTGTTACCATACAGTCTGCCTACAGAGGCTTTGTGGTAAGGCAAAAAATACAGCAGATGCATCAAGCTGCTGTGGTCATCCAAGCAACATTAAAAATGCATAAAATTTACATTTCTTACCAAGCTCTAAGGCTTGCTTCGATAATCATACAACAACGTTACCGTGCTTATAGGGAAGGGAAGCGTGTCAGAGAAATATACTTAAAACAGTACAATTCTGTTTTAGTTCTTCAGGCTGCCTATAGAGGAATGAAAACAAGATGCTTCTTGAAGAAAAGGCATGAGGCAGCACTTATAATACAGAGAAACTACCGAATGTACAGGCAGTACCACCACTACAGAAAAGTTCAGTGGGCAACCCAGCTAATACAGAAGAGATACCGAGCGAATAACCTAAGGAATATTGCAGTACAGCGCTACTCTTCATTAAAGAAAGCAGTAATTTGTATTCAGAAAGCTTTTCGAGATATGCGTTTAAAAAAACTACTTCAAGAAAAGCACCGTGCTGCTATTGTTGTTCAGAAAAATTTTAAAGCTTTTAGAGAACGTCAAAGGTATCTCTCTCTTAAAGCAGCTACTCTTGTCTTTCAGAGAAGATACAGAGCTTTGATTCTGTCAAGGCAGCATGCTCAGGAGTATCTTTGTCTTCGTAGAGCAACTATTCTTCTACAGGCTGTGTACAGAGGTATCAGAGTGAGGAAGAGTATTGAGTGTATGCATTTAGCAGCTACTACAATACAGTCAGCCTACAAAATGCACAGGAAGAGAAGGTCCTATCAAAATATGAGAATTGCAGCTATTGCTATACAAAACTACTATCGATCCTACATTAAACAAAAGAATCAACAGAAGGAATATCTGACAATGAAGAAATCTGCTCTTGTTATTCAAGCATATTATAGAGGCACTAAGGAACGACAGAAACTGAAACTTATGCATGCTTCAGCAACTGTAATACAATCTAGTTATCGAACGTATGTACAGCATAGGTATTATAAACAGTTGTGCTGGGCAGCCAGAGTTATACAACAGAGGTTCAGAGCCAAAGTAGCAAAAGAAGCTGACATGGAAAACTATGCAAAAACAAAAAAGGCCGTCATTTGCCTACAGTCCTCTTTTCGTGCTAAAAAAGCAAGGCAGTTGTATAAAACCAATCTTGCTGCACTACGCATACAATCATTTTTCCGAATGTATGTAGAAAGGAAGCGTCTTCTTGCAAAAAAAGCAGCAGCGATAACGATCCAGTCTGCGTTCCGATGCCAAAGAACAAGGGCTCGTTATAAATTGATTCAAAATTCAATAGTTGCTATTCAGAGGTGGTACAGGGCATGCCACAGGGCTCGTTTACAGAAAGCAGAATACTCTGCTCAAAAGCAAGCAATAGTAATTATTCAGTCTGCCTGTCGTGGAATGAAAGCAAGAAAAACAGCAAGACAAATACGAGCCGCAAGGAAGATTCAGTCTTTTCTTTGGATGGCTGTGCATCGCAGAAAATTTATTCAACTTAAAACAGCAGCAATTACAATAGAAGCCTATTACTTAATGTATAAAGCTAAATCACAGTATGCAAGCTATAAAAAAGCAGCAGTTGTCTTACAGAGATGGTACAAATCCTGTTTGATTGTAAAATGCCAAAGAACGACTTACTTACAAACCCGGAAAAAAATCATCATTGTGCAGGCAAGAGTCAAGGGATTCATCGAAAGGAAGAGGTTTCACAAAATGAAAGAAAGCGCAATAAAAATTCAGGTAATTTAAAATGTACAATAATGGTTTTGTTTGTTTTAGATTAGTGCTACTATTTCAAACATACATGGTCTGTTCTGAAAGTAGCAGGACTGGCTTTTTCCTGGGCGAATGGGCAGACAAGAGGTGGTCTGTGCACGCAGGATCGGTGGAGGGGGATATTGGGAACACTGGGAAAAATCAGCTGTCGGCCGTTGAAGAGAGCAGGTCGCTTGTACTGTGAACACCTGTCGAAACGCCTCGTCATGGAGAATCATGGAGCATTTACTGGAGCAGCGATACATGATCAAATTTTGTGTAAAGCTTGGTAAAACGGGCAAAGAGACTCACGACATGATTAAGGAGGCCTACGGTGATGCTGCCATGGGTAGATTGGGTGTTTTTGAGTGGCACAAGCTGTTCCGAGAAGGTAGGGAAAGAGTGGAAGACGACGACCGCTCATTTGCTTTTTTGATCAACATGGAGTCATCCACAAAGAGTTTGTACCACCCGGACAAACAGTTAATACAGTTTTTTACGTGGAAGTCCTCACAAGACTGTGAAAACGCATTGCTCGTGTCCGCCCAGCCATCGTCAACAATTGGCGGCTGCACCATGACAACGCGCTGAGCCACACGTCTTTCCACGTAGTGGAGTATCTTGCCCAGCACAAGGTGGCAACGCTGCCTCAGCCCCCCAAAAGCCCCGACTTGGCCCTGCCAGACTTTCTTCTATTCCCGAGAATAAAATCGACGCTCAAGGGGAAGCATCACGCATTGGTAGAGGCGCTTCAAGAGGCCGTGACGAGGGAGCTAAACAGCATTCCGGTCCAGGCGCTCCTGGACCAAAAAAAAAAAGAGTCCTACTACTTTCAGAATAGACCATGTATATGTTAAAATAGAATTAAGTTCTGAAGTACAGTATTTCAGGTGTGTAGCTTTTAGTATTGCAGAGCACAGAAATGAGTCTGTCTCTTGTTTTGGTTTTCCTTGCTGAAGCATTCATTTCAAAAGTGATATTCTCTTCCTTCATTTCTTTCCGCTAAAATTTTACTAATTTTACTATTTAAAATTGGAACTCCTTTTTTTTTTTTTTTTTTTTTTTTTTTGAGGAACTTCTTTGGCCTGACTAGCTTCCACCTACTTAAATATTAATAGCTTATTTTTTAATTTTTTTATTGGAATGCAAATGAAAGCTGTTTTGATGTGTTGACATTAGTTGGAACTGGTACTAAGTATAAAGTGAGGTAAATGGAAGAAGTACAATTGCTGCATTCTTTAAGACTTTCTGATATTTTCATGTCTTCTTAAATAACCAAAGTATTGTGGGTTTTTTGTTTGCTTGTTTTTAAGACATTAAATAGATCCAGAATAATTTTGGTGCCTAGCTACCATTTTGACAAAGAATTTGAGGAGACATATTTCATTCTTTGGGAAAAGTGATTAAACACTCTTTTCCTTCCCTCACTGATGGGATAACACATTAGTGTGGTTGGCAAGAAGTAATGGGAGTTGCTCTATCTCCCTGTAGCAAGCTAAATATCTGTCTAGTTAATGTCCAGCAGACCTGTTTTTTTTGTTGTTGTTTGTTTGTTTTTTGTGGATAAAGGAGAGAAGATATTTCTCCCTGTTATTTATATTAATTATGATTTGTACTGGGAGTCATTTTTATTTTAAATTAATGTTCTGTCATTGCTTGTGGGAGAAGTTTTACATGACTTCCTGTGTTGTTCTTAATTATTATACCCTAAGGTAAAAGGAAAGAGGTTTGTCTTTGGGACATTACTGGAATGAAAAGACAGCTTTTTTCTCCAGATCAGGAAGGAAAGGGAAATAATCTCTCATAATTGTTCAGGTTGTTATTACTATCCTCTTGAAGAGCACAATTTTCTTTTGGCAGATAATAAAACAAGTGTGCCTTCCTCACTTCTATTCTTTGGAGGGTTGGGAGGGAAATGGCAGCCTATTAGCTATTTTTCTGAATAAAACGTACATACGGATGTTTTAAGGAGAGAAGAAAATTTATTCAACAAAAAGCTGCTGCTGTGATCATCCAAAAACATCTGAGATCTTGGCAGGAAGGCAGGCTTAAATTTATGAAATACAACAGAACTAGAAGAGCTATCATTAAACTGCAAGCATTTATGCGGGGTTATTTAGTCAGAAAAAAAGGTTGGTATACTTCACGTTATAACTACTTTTGATGTAAAATATCTCTATAGCAATTTTAGCATTAATTCTAGCTGCCAAGGAAGAACTTTTTTTTTAAATGCTTGTGAAATCTTTTTGGCTTACCCATAAACTGATCCTTTACACCCATGCATGCTTACAATGAAACTGTTTTCTTCAATCTGTTAAAGTTGTTATTTACAATCATTTCTATGTGTTACTGTTCAGATTAGAGAGACCCAGGACTGAGGAAAGGTATCTTACTTAGTTCTGAGCTAATGACTTCAGCGGTCATTATTCAGCATCTTGCTGAAGTATACTTTTGCTGTATGCTTTGGTCTTCGCATAGATGATCAGTTATCTCTGGGTATGAAAATTAATGATGTTAGTTCTTCTGTTTTCCTTGACAGATTTCAGAACAGAAACAGAAGAAACTGCTTTGCTTTATAGCAGCTGCATATCATCATGTCTCTGCAATTAAAATTCAAAGGGCCTATAGGATGCATCTCACCTTAAAGCTTGCACGAAACCATATCTCATCTGTTCTTATAATACAGGTTAGTCTAATTAAGGATGAATCCTTTTGTGTAACTATTTTGTCAGCTGAGCTGTAGCACTAAGATACGGTAGTTCCTTCATACGTGAAAATAAAGCTAAAACACAGAGACTACAGTTTATTAAGTAATGCTGCTTATAGCCAGCTAAATGTAATAAAGTGGATCTCAGCAGGCTCTGGAGGTCTCCAGAGTGGTCACTAGCTTAGTCCCATTGACGGAAGGAGTTCAGTATTAGATAAGTTGAGCGGTAATAGTAAACAATTAGACAAGTGTTTGGTAAGATTTGGCATACAGAACACTATTTCCCCTCTCGATAGAGGGGAAGAAAAAGACCAGGGAAACAGGAAGTGGAATAGTGGTTCTTCCTAAAAGACAGCTGAGGAAAAAAAAACAACAGAATTCCGTGCCTACTTGTTCCTAGCTGAGGAAGAGTTCTGCAGTTGAGTTGATTTTGCAGTCATTCATTACAGCCACTAGGCAGATCACAGCTGAGTCATGGTGGTCAGATGAATGCTAGGGATATTTAGTGCCTGTAGGTCAAAACTCATGTTAAAATAGTGCTTTATTTATTTATTTATTTATTTATTTATTTATTTACCAATGCTTGTTTAGGAAGGGAAGTAAGAATTTAGGGAGAAGTCTTAAGTAAATAAATAGAAATCTACTTTAATTTAAACAGAGATGGTTTCGAGCAAAAATGCAACAGAAAAGATTTCTAAGACATTATCAAAGAATCATTCAATTGCAACGTATGATTCGAGTCTGGCTAAATCGCAGAAATGATGCAGCAACCATAATCCAACGAAGCATACGAAGATTTCTTGCCTGCAGACGTAACAGAAAATTTGCCAATGGAATAATTAAATTTCAGGTAAATACCTGTTAAAACTGCAGTTTTCTTAGTTTTTGTTTCATGGGCTTTTGGAGAGAGGACAAATGTAAATGTTTACATTGGTCGTTGAATTTATCAGTTAAATTACAAGACAAGCCAATTTCAATTCAAAATTAAGCACAAACATGAAGTAATATTAAGCAGATACTGTTTTAGGTGACTTTTGGGAAGTGTGTGGGGATATGTATACATTCATGTTTTTGTTCTTTTGTTTTGCAAATGTGCTATTTGGGAAATTAAACACTGAACGTGATTATTGGGTACTTACTTAAAAATAAATAACCGAAGTGTTTAAATAGTTAATCAGACTTATATAATGTTGATTTAGAAAGCTAACGCAATTCTGTTCTATTGTCTCTTCTGTTCACAACTTTTTGGGGGGCTTTATGAAATTCCTTTTCTATAGGCATTGTGGAGAGGATATTCTTGGAGGAAGAGTAATGACACAGCAAAAACTAGAGTTTTAAGGCGCCGTTTGGAAAAGGCTAATGAAAAGAGCAAAGAAGAAGAAAAACTGTGCAACAGAACCGCAATTGCTATTGAACACCTTCTAAAATACAAACATCTTTCATACGTTCTTGCAGCATTAAAGCATCTAGGTCAGTGTTTTGTTTTATTATGGAATCATATTAAATCAATAATATTTTTTTACTTCTTTACAAGGTCTATTTAAATTTAAGAGGAAGATCTGTAATTTTGAAAATAAATTGCTTGAGCTTAAGGATCTTATTTAAATGTTCTATGTTATAGAGGTAGTTACCAGACTCTCCCCACTCTGTTGCGAAAATATGGTCCAGAGCAGAGCAATCTTCAGTATTTTTGTTCTAATTCGAAGTTGCAACCGGAGTGTTCCATGCATGGATGTGATCAGATACTCAATTCAAGTTCTACTTAATGTTTCAAAGGTAATGTTAATATTTTATTTTGCAGGGCTATGAGCTGTAGGCTACTTTATTGCAGTTATTATTTATCCACAAAATTTCTGAATGAATTTAAACCAAATTGAACAATTTTGAAGAGCAAAAATAAATCTGAGCTTTAATTATGTTATTTCTTAAGAAAATTAAATAATTACTACATTTGGTAAAAGAAAATGCTTCCATGGGCATAGTGATTTTTTTTAACTGTTTACATTATTAGGATATCCCAAGTATTGTGTAGAAACAGGTAACTGTAGTAAAGATAAACTGTCAAGTTCTTAAAGTAAAAACATACATGTTGAAGAAGATAGGATACTTTTCCAAATTCATGTCAGAGAATAGATCACTTCTTACAGAGCTGACCATTTTCATAAATACTTAAAGTTGTAGTAGTACTGTAGATATTGACTCTGGATTGATTGATCTAGAGTTCTTATTCTGAAATTTATAAAACTTGTTAACATAATTTTTTGGTCTTATATCCAACTTACAGACATTTATATTCAAATACATTTTTCTTATTTCAGGAAAATAAGAAGAACATTCAGGCTACATCTATTCCTATTTTTTTCTAAACCTATTGTAATTTGTTTTTCTATTTTAAATGTAAAATCCAGTTCTGGGGATTTTTAAATGAGGGTTGGGAGCAAAAGGGTAGCTTTTTGTAACCCATTACAATGGCATAACGTGCAAAAGCAATTTTTACTACTTGGATACCAGACAAGTGGCAAATTTGATCAGGGGAAGAATGTGGATATTGCTTTATCATCTAATCTGAAAGTTATGTTGAGGATCTGTGTATATAAGACTTCTTGTCTCTTTCTTTTACAACAGTATGAAAGAACTACTCAAGCAGTTTATGAAGTAGAAAATTCCATAGATACGTTACTAAACCTACTGCAAATGTACAGAGCAAAAGCTGGGGACAAAATTTCAGAGAAAGGAGGAAGTATTTTCACAAAGACTTGCTGTTTGTTGGCTATCCTTTCAAAGGACTCGAAAAGAGCTTTGGTAAGACTTAGTGTCTTGTTTTTAATAGTTTGATTTAATGGTATTTTGCTCTTCATTTATGTTTTGGTGTTGTGTTTTTTTATTCTCTACTAATACCAATTACAGCCATAATGTTAATTATAACTAAACTCTGTTAATGGCAAAATGCAGTTCCAGGATGGTGAAAACAGTTATTACTTAGAGTTTTGTATGCCCTTATTACTCAGAGCTAGTCAATATGTCACTGACTTTTTGATCCTGCAATCCTTGCAAGATTGTTATTGCAATCACTTTTTTTCCACGGTTTTTAATAGTTTCTGTAATCATAGAATAGCTCGGGTTGGAAAGGACCTTAAAGATCATTTAGTTCCAACCCCCCTGCCATAGGCAGGGATGCCATCCTCTAGATCAAGTTGCTCAGGACCAAGTTACTTAGCACTGGATACAGTTTATTTGTTTCTTAATTAACTCTCCCCCTCCCTCCATTTCTGCAAGTTTACTTTTGCTTTTCAGATAAAGTTAAGATAAAAACAGGATAAAGTAAATAAAAGATAAGTCAATAAAAGCAGGCAATATAATCGCAATATAATCGCTCATGACTTTGTGTTGATACATTCTATTGTAACAGAGACATAGCCTGTTTTTGAAAGACATTTCCTTTGCTTGTGCTTATTGATAGAATCTTCAACAAGGTTATCAGGATAATCTGTGTTCTGTGCTACAAATAGGCATCATCTGTTTATCCGTCAGATAGGAGCACTTAAGTTATCCGGTCACCTCTGACAACTGTGTTAATCTTTCATTGATAGGAAGATGCACATACACTAATTTGTCCCTGTATCACTTGTTGCAGACATACGCCAGTGACATATTAAAATGGTTAAAGTGAGAAATTAGTAAAATATGACCTGCGCTTTTTTATTGTTCTGAGGTCTCAAGTGGCGTTCCAGTTACATATTTTGATAGCAATAGATCACTGATTTGTAGTAGGTATGCTGGTTTTGAAACAGTTTCACTGTACTTGTGGATAGAAGTTCAGCTTACAGTAAAAATGTCGAGTTTTCATTGAATAAAGTAGATTTCTTGATCTAAATTGATTTCAAGTTTGTAGTATTAATTATGTGTTATTTTCATCTTTTCTCAGGAAATCCGAAACTTGCCAAGAGCTGTGGCTTGCATTCAAAGCCTCTATAAACTTACAGCTCATAAATGCAAAATGGATGCAGAGAGAACACTTGTGAAACAGAAGACAAACCCTTTAATTAATGGAACTTCCTTTATTCCAGTAATTCCTCTGAGGACAACAACAGTTTCAAGGTAAGAACTTAAAAATTAGTCTGCAGTTTTTGCAGCAGCAACATGCTATTTTAATAAACCACTATTATTTCAACAGAATTAAACCAGACTGGGTTTTGAGGAAGGATAACATTCAAGAAATTGTAGATCCTCTCCAAGCAATTCTGATGGTGATGGATACACTTGGCATTGCCTGTTATGAAAATTAAATTAGTTATAAAAAGTAAATATATGAAAGCATTTTTGTACAGTATGTATGTGGGAGGCAGCAAAATGATTTTGAAATAAAATAAATGTGTTATCTACCCTTGAGATTGTTTGTTGTTTTTTTTTCAAATTGCAGATTGCTTTTTTGCAACTTTTTTGTATTGTATACAGCTTTTGAAATCCTATTTTGTACTACTACCAAAAACAATTGTACAATAAAATCATACGTTCTTGACAGTTTTCCTAGTGCAGTAATGAACTAGTAATGCAATTGTTCTTATGCAACTGTAAGTCTTACCAATAGCAATGTATTCCTCATCTGATTAAAGTATTTCATATTTGTTTGTGTGGGACAGTTATATTGGCTTGTCTGACATGGAGAGCTATAGATAAGAAGGACAAGTAGTCTGATTTTGAAACTAGCTAGTGATTCCAGGGGCTTGGGTTCACTTTCTAGTGAACTTTCAGAGGTCATGAGTGACCATGGGAACATATTTTTAACACTACAAGGTTATGATAGAACAAAGGGGTGTTATAAGGGCGAATTGAGGAACTCACCTGTTACTTTAAGAGGAAGTTATTCTGGGAGTGCTTTCTTTCTTTGAAGCCAGCAATACACATAAGCATGCTTCTCATCCAGCTGAAGGGTATTCGTCACAGCTGAAGAGTATTCATCACAGTATCTCCCTTAAATTGTGTTCTATTGTGCCTTGGATTTGTGTTTTCTTAGAGCAAATCTTCCCACAAGGTTTGGAGATTATGTCTCCTAAGGGCAGAAATTTGATACTAAATCAACTCGTAGCCATAAGTCAATCTGTTCAAGTCAATCAGAATCATTAGGTCTGAAAAAGACCTCCAAGATCAGTTGGTCTAACTGTCCCCCTACCCCTGATATCACCCACTAAATCATGCCCCTAAGCATCACATCCTACCTTTCCTTAAACACTCCCAATAAAATCATAGAATCATTAAGGTTGGAAAAGACCTCCAAGGTCATCTGGTCCGAACACCCCATTGTTAAGAAATTAATCTGACTTCCTTAGGGAATAATAAGGTTCTGTCTTTCTTTGGTTTAAAAAAAAAAAAAAAAAAAAAAAAGACCTTAAGGAGATAGCTGTATGCTACAGAACGTAAGGATAAGTAATAACAGTTCTCCTTAATGTAAGAGCTTCCAGAATGAATAATATAAAGGATAAAACAGAATGGTTATATGGGGAAAGAGAAAGTATGGGGGGAGAAGGGGAGGTTTATTTATTTATTTTCCCTCTTATTGTAGCCAAGGTAAATATCCTGATAACAGAATGCCCTTTAGACTTGGAACTCAAAGGTTTTGAGGGGAACAGTGTTAAGTTAGTTTAAGTTTGTGGCCTGTTTTCACTGTAAAATGATAAATTCTATCTTTGCTGATACAAAGCATGCCAAATGGAAGAAGAGTTCTGCAAGTATGATTAGAGTATAGAGTATTTGGAGAATTAAATAAAAATAATGTTTTCAGCAAAGTAACTCTTGTTACAAAATACTGTGGACACTAGAGTATTTGTGAATACCTTTGAAAATTCAGTTAATAATTTACAGAAGCAATACTTGGAGTCTTCGCAGATGGTGAAAACTATTGATGGAGATGGCAATGAAGATGAGATTTAAATGCTGTTTTTTCTTCCTAGTTATGATGAATTCAGGCAAACTCTTTGCAGAAGGTAAGAACGCTGAATTCTGTTAATAAGTATACATTGAGTTCAAAACATGCAGTTTAGCTGCCTTAAGTGCAGTGTCTTTCATATCTTTACCAAGAATAAACACTGCTTTTTAAATACAGTTTTGTGAGATGGCTGATGATTATGATTCAGTTGTTGCTTCTTATCAGATCTACAGAATCATGTCTAAGCTTTGAAGCTGTAAAATAGAAAGGTTCAAACTTTTTCAGAAAAGTTTTCTGTTCGAAATGTATTTGAGCCATTTTGAGGCACTTACACAAATTGAATTTTACACCCCTAAGCATTATATATAATGACATGTAATTGGAATGTCTTGTCTGACCACTGAGCAAAAGAGCAGAAGTTAAATAGAGCCTGTAGTAACTAGTTTGGGGAAATGTTTCACATTTCTTATCCCTATTTGCAGTACTGTTTTAAATTCCTGGGTTTATATAGGTTGCATGCCACCTGAACTGCAACTTCGCAATGCTATGGACTGTTCATTGGGCTACATCTCCATTAAGTAAAAGGATGTCTCTCTTTTTCATTTTCTTTTGAATCTACTAATATGTATTTCAGTCCAACATATTTGTTGCTATTGCTTCTGTCTTCACCAGTGTTTTGTTCTTATGCAAAGCAGTTGAAATTACATTGGTATGTTTTTAAAAGTCAAACAAAAGGTATGTAGGTAGCAACCACTTCTGACTTAAAACTACTCTAAAATCTGAATCAACAAGTTTTTGTTGTTGTTGTTTTTCTCATTTAATTTAGATATAATGCAGTAGCAGTGTGGGGAAGGGAAATATAAGCAATGAGATTATCTGGGTAATTTATTTAAAAAATTCTGCAGCAAATTCTGGTGACTTGTTTGAGGAAAGGTGCAATAATTTATCAAGGTTCAAATTAGATTCTTCAAATTACATTGACTTACCATGCCATCGAGAGATTTTAAGTCCCAAGGAATAGTTGTAAAAGAAATCCAAACATAAATATTGTTTGTTCTTTTTGTTTGTTTCAGTTTTCCTCATATGTCTCACTTTCTAGTCCCTTCACCAGCTTGGTTGCTTTTCTTTGCACACACTCAAGTAACTCAATACCCTTCTTGTAATGAGAGGCCCAAAACTCAACACAACAAGCCTTTGTTAGCTGATCTTGTAGAACTAATGGGATTGGTGCAAAGATGAAATTCTTGCTCCTTTCCTAGGAAATATCCTAGAGTTTAAAATGCACTGGAGCCTCCCAGGTAAATGGCTTGTTAGTATGTCCCCTAGGCCTATGTTTGTTCAGGATTTTTTCCCTAGGTGAGTGCAAAGAAGGGGTAGCACTCAGGAGAAGTGAGTACATGGCCTAAATCTAGTTTTGAGGATATACCGATCTCAACCTTCATCTGGGGATAGGAAATGGGCTGCCAGTATTGCTGCTTCTGTAGCATTAGAATTGATACATACACTGTGGTAAATATTATAGCAACAGGTAGCATGGGAAATGTCTATTTCATGAAGACCTTTAAGGAACATTTTCCTGAGTTTATGCTGAGAAATTATGGATTTGTTTATAACGGTGCAATTGCGTAATTCCTCTCTTTTATACACTTGTTGAAATAAAATCACTTTTTTGATCTGGATTTTCATTTTGGTGAGAAAACGAGGGGTAAGAAGCCATTCTGGATCAGTCAGAATCACCTGAACAATTGGCTTATGCACTGTATAGTAAAATGAATTGCTTTGCTTACTGTTTTGCTTAGTTGAGCAAACATTATGTATTTTTAGTTTTCAGATGTAAGAAATAAATGTCCTCCACCACCACTTCCTCCTTATGCCTATGTCATCTCAGCTAGGAGAGTTCTTTGTTTTTGTTTTCACACTGAAGCGTCACATTCAGCACTAATTTGAAATATTTTCTTATTACTGCTTTTTTCTTTCCCCCTTTTTTTTTTCTTGTAATTATTTGCTGTTCTGCTTTTTCTTTGCTTAACCTCTATTTCTTCTTTTTATTTTTTCCCTTACAACTGTTCTTTAACACCCTTCCATCAGCAAGTTTAATTCTTATATTATCTCCTGGCAGTTTGTCATGCTTATTCTTATTCAATTTGTCATTCTTATACCATGTGGCTATGGCATAGCTAAGTCTTGGCACTGTATTTTAGAGCATGCCTCAATACAGTTATTCAGTAGAGGGTGCCCTTATTTACATCTTCCAGGCTAAAAAGCATCAAATGTGTTCTGCATCAGTTTTGTACAGCTGATGTGAGCAAGTTTCATTCTATAGGTGATATTTCTGTACACCTAAAAATCAAAAGCAGATATAATTCTGATATATATATTAATTTCAGTGAGTCTTATAAAAACTTTCATGCTTAAGATGAGATTTAATAAATAAGTAAATAGAACAAGTATGGATACTTAGATGAATCATTTTTGATCTAATAATGACTGCCAAAGAAATTAGCTGTGACCTTGTTAGTATTCACAATTTCATTCATCTTGTTTGAAAGCCTGAATCAATCCAACTTACTTTAAACAAATTAATGCAAAAAAAAATCTTGTATGGGATGAGGTTCTTAGTGAGAAATGTTTATCATCTCTTTGCAGATAAATTTTGTGATTTGCCACATATAGAAAATGGAAAGATTGCCCCATACTATTATAATTTCAAAGGTTACTATTTTCCTATGCGTAAAGACAAAAAACTTTCCTATTCTTGTGTTGCTGGTTATACAACTGAAACTGGGACTCAAGAAGGAAGAATAACTTGCACAGCAAAAGGATGGTCTCCAGTGCCACAGTGCTACAGTGAGTTAGCTTTATTAAGTTCATTATTGTTTCTAGTGGGAAACTTTTCTAGCTCAATTTCCTTAAGCATACAGGGTCAAAAGCTGCAGAACAGAAGGGATAAAATGCATATTAGGACAAGGTTAAATACATGATGTATACAAACTACATTTCGATATATGGAATATTTTTACAATAATACATATGGTAAGAGCCCTTAAAATATATGCTTTTATAAGAGTTTCAAGAAAGTTGCCAGTCTACCTTATTTCTGGAAAATCAATTGACAGTTTTGTCCCTGATATGTATCTGAGTCTCCATAGCTCTAGATTCTTTGGTTCTCATGTTCCATGATATTAACATATGTTTGTATCTGATGATTGTGGCAGAGTTGCTTCAACAGATCAAGAAAATAAAATCAGATGGAGATAATTAAAAGCCCTTTTCCCTTGCTTATTGAAGAACAACACATTCCATTAATTCTTTCTTCTAACCAAGCTGTCTCTTTTCATTTAGAAAAATGTAAGAAGCCTCTTTTGGAAAATGGCTTTTTTTATGGTACAGAAATGTCCTTCAAAATACATGAGAAACTGCAGTACAAATGTAATCTAGGCTACCACACTCCAAATGGTGGTACCGAGGATACAGTACAATGTCAAGCGGATGGATGGTCCTCACAGCCAAGCTGTACTAAAAATTTTGGTAGGATTGTGCATTTCCCTCCTTACAATTTTTATATATATAAAATTCTGCTGTCCTTGCTGTGCCTGTGTTGTCAAATTGCCAATGTTATGACACTTGGATGCTCCTCAAGCAAGTTCTCACCTGTACGTCGTGCGATGAAGTTCTCAGATTTCACACATTGGTTGTTTAGTCAATTGGCATAGATAAAGTTATATGTAGATGGATTCAATATAGATGAAATAATATTGTTTCAAATAAATCTATTTCCAACCAAACTTTGTTCGGAAACAAAGACTGGAGAACCTGTGTAAAATAATGCATTTTTAATTATTCATTACCTGCAAAGTCTTTTCCTCAGATATGATAACTTTTAACTAAAATTTTAGATGAGTAACTTTAAATGAAAAGAGCAATTAACATTATGTGTACGTTCTATTTAAGAGTCATGCCAAGTACCTGATTTACATCATGGCTATTACTTCACAACCCAGCAAGAGCTTCGAGTGAACGAAACACTGCTATATGAATGTGATGAGGGATATCACACTGCAGGAGGAAACACTACAGAAGAAGCAAGGTGCCTAGCACATGGGTGGTCCCTTACTCCAAACTGCACTAGTATGTAGTGGGCATGGGAATAATTCTGTTTGAAATGTGACTTATTCTACAACTGAATAAAAATTTACAAACAGCTTTATTTTTTAAACTGTTAAAGGTTGTTGTTTGTTTGTTTTTGTTGTTTTTTAAGGAAGCCTTCTAGCCTCTATCAACTGTTTTTCTCTGCTTTGTGTTTTCTTCCTAGAAATAACTTGCCACCCTTTGAGTAGAATAGAACATGGAGGTTTCTATCCTGTGAAGAAAATCTATGAAGAGGGAGATGTTGTTCATTTTTTCTGTGAGGCAAATTATTCTTTCCGTGAATTTGACCTAATTCAATGTTATTATTTTGGATGGTATCCAGATCCTCCAGTGTGTGAAGGTAGCGTATTTTTACGTTTGTAGTATATAGTCTTTCCCTAGCACTTTCTTTCATGAAATGAAATGCTTTATGAATGCAAAATAAAAATATGCTTTTATACCAGTTGACCACCTAAATATAAATGAAGAGTTAGCAGAAAAGCATGGAGCCAAAGTAGAAGGGAGGAGCCAGTGATAACTGGAATTAGGCTGCTTCTGCCTGTTTTCAGTGGAATCTAAAAATAGAGCAGATACTGTTCTCTTCTCTTACTTCTCTGTGTGTTGTTTCCTGGAAAAGTACAAAGAAACAATTACAGGGAAGATGCTCAGCCCTTAAAATTCAAGATAAACCATGTTGACACTATGTGAAGAATTAATCAAGCATGTGTAGGAGCTTCATGAGGTGGAAACATACTTCTTGAGGTGTAAGAATTATTTTATTTATTTACAACTTTTTCCTAGCTTGTGTTATTCAGTGCTTTTCAGTTTTGCAGCCTCACCAAACTGTATGTTTTGGATGGAATTAACTAGAAGGGTCATCCTGAGGAAAGAAACATGCTTTTGGCAATTATTATTGCTTCCATAGTCTTTGGGGGATACTGGAAATTCTGCCCCTCCCCCCCCCCCCCCAAAAAAAAAAAAACACACACAAAAAAACAACAAACAAACAAAAAAAGAAAAAGTCCTTTCAGAAGAATGAAAGGCCTAGTGATGCAGAACTGTGAGCTACAGCGTACAGCAGAAAACAGAGAAAATGAACTAGCTGAGAATATTTAATATTACTGAAAGAACATACGCTGATGTTATGTTTCAAACCTCTTGGGTGAAGAAATTCTTCCCGATATCCAATCTAAACCTCATGTGCAACATGAGGCCATTGCCTCATGTTCTACCACTTCTGACCCAATAAAAGAAACTGATGCTTCCCTTGCTGCAACCTCCCTTCAGGTAGTTACAGGGAGCAATGAGGTCTCCCCTCAGCTTTCTTTTCTCCAGACTAAACAGCCCCAGTTCCCTCAGCTGTTATTCATATGTCTCACTTTCTAGTCCCTTCACCAGCTTGGTTGCTTTTCTTTGCACACACTCAAGTAACTCAATACCCTTCTTGTAATGAGAGGCCCAAAACTCAACACAGCAAGCCTTTGTTAGCTGTACTTGTAGAAATAACGGGATTGGTACAAAGATGAAATTCTTGTTCCTTTCCTAGGAGATATCCTAGAGTTTAAAATGCACTGGAGCCTCCCAGGTAAATGGCTTGTTAGTATGTCCCCCAGGCCTATGTTTGTTCAGGATTTTTTCCCTAGGTGAGTGCAAAGAAGGGGTAGCACTCAGGAGAAGTGAGTACATGGCCTAAATCTAGTTTTGAGGATATACCGATCTCAACCTTCATCTGGGGATAGGAAATGGGCTGCCAGTATTGCTGCTTCTGTAGCATTAGAATTGATACATACACTGTGGTAAATATTATAGCAACAGGTAGCATGGGAAATGTCTATTTCATGAAGACCTTTAAGGAACATTTTCCTGAGTTTATGCTGAGAAATTATGGATTTGTTTATAACGGTGCAATTGCATAATTCCTCTCTTTTATACACTTGTTGAAATAAAATCACTTTTCTGTTCTGGATTTTATTTCAGGGAGAAAATGAGGGGTAAGATGTTGCTGTGGATTAACCAGAAACATCACCTGAACAATTGGCTTATGCACTGTATAGTAAAATGAATTGTTTTGCTTACTGTTTTGCTTAGTGAGCAAACATTGTGTTCTTTAATTTTCAGATGTAAGAAATAAATGTCCTCCACCACCACTTCCTCCTCATGCCCATGTCACCACAGTTAGGAGAACATATCATAATGGCGACAAAGTTCGTATACAGTGTCAAAGTAAATTTGAAATAAGAGGATATGAGGAAATTCAGTGTGAAAAAGGAAAATGGACATCACCTCCTATTTGTATCGGTTAGTACTTCCAGCGCCAAAGCAGAAATGGATGTTCAAACAATGCCTTGATTTTCCTAATAGAGCCTCAGTTTAAATGTCTGCAAAGCTGTTTGTTCTCCTTTGTTAAATGTGCGAGAGATAAAATGCTATATAATTTTGCAGCCAATCAATCATTCACAGATTAAGAGATGAGGATGAGCTGGATGGATTGAACTGGAATCCATGTTGTGTAGCTCTCCCTTGGAATACTGATTTTTATTACATCTTATAAAACATCGGTGTTTTGTGGTATTTTTTTTGTGTGTGTATGTGTTTTTGAAAATGAATTGTTTTTGAACAAGCCTGATTCTAAGTTTCTGCTGTGGTTTTAGGATCTATAAATAAACAGGAATCTGAGCCAACATCACTTGAGCTAGATGCAGCAATAAGGACAAGCAAAACGTATCACAGTGAAGAAACGAGTAGGTGAACCTTGATTTATTTGTTAATTTAATAGAGAATTCAATGGCCACCAATGATGTTATAGGCATTTTTATGACTAACCTTACTACTTTTTTGCTATATCACAATTCCTTACTCTTTAAAATGTTTGCGTATGTTCTATGTATAAGAAGCTGAGTGAATGATCACCGTCTTCTGTGACTGTAAACTACACTTATAAGTCTGTCCCATATATGTAATTTTATTTCATGCGTTAGCGTTTACCATCAGTCATTTTGTACCTCTTCTGTTGATAATCTCTGAACATGCAGATTCAAGAGTATTTCGATCCTTTGTTTAGTAACTCACTGAGGTTTATTCTGAACTCCATATGGGTTTAACATTTCAAGCAACAAATAAAGACAATCTCAGCACAGAAAAGCAACCAATCCGTATTGACTGTAACCCAGCAGGAGTCAAGTGTGGACATAGGTGAGGAGTGTAGAAGGCACAGAAATAGTCTGAACATCAGTAAAATAAATCTAGAGCATCTGAAACTGAAACTTCTAAATAGAAGTTCACTTACATGCACTTTTATGGTATGAAAATTTTGGACCAAAGTCAGTTGGTATGCTGATGCTTTCAACAGTGTTAATATTATTTTAAAGATCTAATTGCATCTCTCCCTTCCTTGTATTAGAAATGCAGCAGAGCTGTACCTCTCCACCGGTGATTAAAAACGGTGTTCTTCTTAGCCCCCTATTGCTTAGCTACAAAAATGGTTCTTCAGTAGAATATGGTTGCCAACTTTACCATTTTTTGGATGGACCTACCACTGTTTACTGCAAAGAAGGAAACTGGACAGAACAACCGACTTGCTTAGGTAAGGTTTGTGAGAAAAAAAGTAAAAAAATTGTGACATGTAATGTAGAAAGAAAAATCTGGAAAGGACCTCTAGATAATCTTTTAATGACTCCCTCTTCTCTTTCATTAGAGCTAACAGATTTCAGAAACACGAGGCTGAACCATTATCAACTATACCTAGCCCGCTGCTGCTAAGTGTCTTCTGGCCTGTTCTTAGTTCCTCTGTTTTCCTGAGTGAAGAGGTCTAGAACTCAGCTGGCCTCATTATTTTAGAAGGCTTTCTAATTTCTTTATCTTCCACATCCTCCATTCAGTGGATTTCTTCCTGTCTTTCTAAAGATGTTTAGAAGAAATGACTGCAGTCCTTGCCTAAATAGTTTTTTTGGTTAGGGTTAGCAGGTATTGTGACTTGGACTTTCATTTTTAAACTTTCAGCCTTTGTGTTTGTTGTGTCCTTGTATCCACCTCTTAATTCTGGACTTCCTAATTGTTCCATGAAGCTCCCATGTATGCTGCTCAAAACAACCTATACATCTCCCACTAGGAGTTTACAGATGTAGGCAGGAATACTACTTCTGATGATTTACAAGAGTTCTTAGTTTATCCTTCTTTCCTTCCTCTAATGAAATAATTTCTACACCATGCTTTGCACATTTGTTAGAATGTGCAATAGGCAATCTCTCCTTGCATTTCCTTCAGAAAATCATTAATAAGGGCCTCTGTCAAGCACTGATTCTCTTGAGACTTGCAGGAATTTGTTTTTTCAACTGCCCCTTTGTCAGGCTTTATTGAAGTGGAGCAGTGGATTCAAAAGTTAGAGGTTAATTGTCGAACAGAAAGCTAGGTTACCCAATTTGATCCTGGCACTAAGAAGTCTGTCAGAAAGCAACCGAAATAATACTGACCTTGAAGTACCTGAAAAAGCCTAAAGAAAACCACAAACTTCATGAAGAAAAAAAAAAAAGCCAATAAAAAAAAGGAAAATGTCTAAATACTTTATAAATTGACAAAACATGGGGGGAAGGAGGGAAGAAGCAAATGAATTGTCAAAACACTTTGTTAAGTTAATAGCTTAAATTTCCTGTTTCTTCTGTTCTGTTCTTCTTCAGTGGTATATCCTGGCTGCTGTATGTTTGCAAATATTTGTAGAATCCCGATTCTATCTGAAGTGTGATTTCTGAGCTTATTATTTTTGCGTGTTCTATTTGTTACTTCAGACTATTTCTTTATTTCTGCTTTCTTTCTAAATGTGCTTTTAGTTCTATTTCTTGCATGATTCCAAAACAATTTATAATTACTGATTTAGATTTCTCTTTTTCAACTCCTGCAACAGGCAGTTAAGAAATCTCTTCATAGAATCATAGAATATCTGAGTTGGAAAGGACGCACAAGGATCATCAAGTCCAACGCCTGGGTCGCTAAAGGATCACCCAGAAAAATCAGATCATGTATCTGGGAGCATTGTCCAAAGTTTGCTTTTATTGAACTATGCTTTTATTTCCTAGATCCATGTGTTCTTAATGCAACTACTCTAAACAATAACAACCTAGAGTTAAAATGGAGACAGGAAGAATTAATGTTCCTACATGGTGACCTCATAGAGTTTGAATGTAAAGAGGGATATGATTTTCCCCAGACTACCCTTCCATCTCCTGGGAGGACGCAGTGTAACCATGGGAGACTGAAATACCCAAAATGTGTTGTTAAAGGTAAAGCAATATTTTGTTGCTTGTTCTTTTGAATTCATCAGTGTCAGACCTCTTTGGAAACATTTGCTCCAGCGGTGGAGGCCTGGAATTTATTGTCAATAAAAATCAATGTTTAGTGTCAGACGATACAGGTGCACACACATATCCCTAAGCAATACAGGTACATTGATTGATAAATATATGTGTGCATAGCAAAAACAATACAACTTCCTTGGATGGAAAGGCCGTAGAAGGGAGGAAGGAGCTGTTCTCCAAGCATGGGGAACTCAAAGCTCTGTAGAAAGACACCTGTAAACAATGAAATGCACGCAAGGGGTTTCTTGTGGTTAGAATTAGATGGGAGGTTGCGTTCGGGTTTGAGACGTAATGCAGCAGTAATGAGCAGGCACTGAGAGTTGATAGTTACCTAGTGTTGGCAGTTTAAAGCTGCTGCTTTGTTAGTTTCTCATGTTGAACGTTTCACAAAGATTTTTGACGTTATTGCAGCTCCGATGGAAAAATGTGACTCTCCACCTCCTATTGCAAATGGAGCTCTTAAACTCCCACCCCTGGCCCAGTATGAGAGTGGTTCTTCAGTTCAGTATAGTTGCTATGACTATCATTTCATGCAAGGATCTGAGAGAATCTACTGTTCTGCAGGCCAGTGGACCTCACCACCAGTTTGTATAGGTAGGCATGAGAAGATACATAAACTTTTATTTCTCCTACTCAGATGCTTTGTATTTGTAACTTGGGTGTTGTCAGCTGGAACATTAAGATCTTAACCTCATCTCTTTTTCATTTTGAGATGACAGCTTTAACAGATGCGAGAGTAAGAGTTTTTGGCTTTTCTATTACATAAGTCTGACATGCCTGCAGAGTCCAAAAATACAGTGATGTCACATATAGTATATTAAGAGAATGGGGAATAATAGCCTGCATTCTCCGTGTCAATTGCAGTCACAATGACATGATTTCAAAAATAATTGATTTATTGACACTGAATATGTCTCTGTTCTTTAGAGCCATGCACTTTGTCAAAAAATGAAATGGAGAAAAATAATGTTCTGCTGGAAGGGTTTTATGAGAACCAAGTTTACTTCTACCATGGGGATTATGTTGGATTTTACTGCAAACAGAACCATTTTGGAGAAGAATCTGGTACAACTTTATTTCAAGTGCAGTGTAAGAGAGGCCAGCTAGCGTATCCAAGATGTGTCGAAAGAGGAAAATAAGTGTGAACTTCAGGAAATTTCATAGGAAAGGTATGTTGTTTATCTGGAATTAAAAGGTGCATGAATACTGCTTCATATTTCAAGATGACTGCAGTCAACTTTCAGAAATGGGTGTTCAGTGGCACAGTTGGCTGTGAGCCAAATTGGGATGGAAGTGGGGAAGTGGTATGTGGCATGAGGACTGGGAAAGCAACAGAACAATGCAATGTTGACACACTATGTGTGGAAATTTTAGGAAGTAGTAGTTCTTTGAGGCTTATAATGCTAAACTTGAGAATGCATAACAATATGGAGAATCTGAGCAAGGGACAAGAAAAGGAGAAAGCATTTTAAGAGAATGTCTGTAAAGGATGAAACTATTTAAAATATAGAAATATGTGAGTTCCACTCAGTAGTTAATTATTAATCTTAAATGAAAAGTGAAGCAAACAGTTTTATTTGCTATTTGAGAATGTGCCAACTATTCAAATGATCTGCTGTAACTACTTTGTAGGATTGCTTTGACACTTGCACGTTTATACTCCTGGGACTCTGGCCTGTGAGAATGTTGCACGGCTGCAGATCCAATGAAAATTCAGGAAGACAGAACATGCTTGCCTCATGTCAATTTTGTAAAATAAACACAAAAATGCACAGTGATCTCCTGTCACTCTGTGTCTGAGAAGAGTCTTTTTCTCTTTCTCTGTACTCTCCCAACAGGAAGCCAAAAACAGAAGGAAAGTCTCCTCCCAGCTATGTCATCTTAAACATTCAGCAAAGAAACAGGGGGGATGTTTTTTTTTGTGAAAGGCACAATAAGAATAACTATTTTGTGTTTCTGTTAGTGCCTTTCCTCACATAGTAGAGCCTTCTAATAGCACCAGAATCGCCATATATCTCAGTTCTGTTGTTTCACGGCAAAGGTGCTAGTTCGGGAGCAGGCAGATGACACGATGATGTTTCTTCACCGAGTTTGGCACGTGCAAATGTTTTCAAGATTGTTCTGGTATTTGTTAACTTTTCTGCTTGCAGAACAACCTTGTGTTTATGCAAGATTTCTGCCAACTTCAGCAAAAAGCCATTTGGATGTATTTATAGACTGCCATTTCTGTATTCCGGTTAAGTTCTTGCCTCCTCCTTTGAGGAACTCTGAATGAAGCAAGTGAATATTTGGGAAATATCAGAAGACCCTTCTCCTTAAAGAGCAGACCTACTGGAAAAGGAGGGAAAAGGATTCAAGTCTGTCTCTGGAATATTTCTTGAGAGTAACATTTGAAGCGATTTCCCATGTTTGAAGAGATGGTGGTTTGTTTTCTGAAGTCATGATACAGAATTGCTGGATTTTAGAAGTCGGTCACTTCTGCATGTGCTGTGGAACAGAAAGGTCAGAGTAGAAAATACTATCCTCCTGTTCTGTCCAAGCCATGGAAATTACTATCCTGTAATCATCCAAGGCCCGTGAGAACTAAGACCCTGCTCCACCGATCCTGCATCAAAGCGACACCTTGGCCCCATGAGAACAGCCACTCCAGCCCATTGTCAGGTGCTGGATTCTGGCTGCTCCTGCACGTAGTGGGCTCAGGCTCCTCCACGGTGTTGGGCATCTGTACATGGAGTTCCTCTTCCTCTGTGCTATTGTTTCCACTGTAGGCTGTCAGCATAAGCTGCTAGAGACCTTTCTAATCACGTAGACTCTAAGCACTTGGTTTTATCTGTATGTGTGTCCAGTTAAAGATTGTCACCAGAATCTCTACAACCCTCTGGTCTCCCCACCCCAGTGTACTACAGAAATTGTGAAGCTGTTGGCTAGCAAATGTGTTTTTGTTAGGCTCTCAAGATTTCAGTAAGGGTGTTGATAAATTTTTGGCTCCACATATAATGTAATTTTTGCCCGTAAAAAAATTTTACGTGATGACACTGGAAAAACAAGATGTGTTTTATAAACACACCGGGAGTCTTTGCTGATGGTTTTCATAAGTGTGCTGTGTCAAGTTCAGTCTGAAAGGTTTTGTGAGAAATTACTGAAGAATTTTTGCAGGAATTGCTTGTTTAATATCTGTGCAGAATGTCTACTGTGTCACAAGAAAATTAGGGGAGGAGTTTGCAAGGGCAACGCTCAGAAAGGTGGGAGTTGAATAATAGTATATGCAATTTGGAGTAGAGGAAACAGCAAGTCTTTTGCAGAGGACATCTTTAATTTCTAAAACGTGGAAATGACACTGCTGCACCTCACCACAGGGTTTCTGCTGTGGATGTGTTGTGCTACACATAAAGGTAAGTCTTTAAATGGAAATCCATGCTTTAAGTGATGTGTAGTGACCGGTGACAATCAAGAATATGGAACTGAAAAATAAATTATTTGTCACTTTTAGTGGAACCTGTTTCAGAAGTTCTGAATGAGAATTATATTTTAGAATGTCATATTTGGGAATACTTGCCTTTTTTTTTTTCTTTTTTTTTTTTTTTTGTCTGAGTTCTCTTCTTTGCTAGATTTATAACTAGACATAACCCCCTCAACATACATGCATATAATAAATTCCTTGGTATTTCATTTGAGCTGCTGTTATTCTGAGAACATGCTATTTAAATGCAGAATTCTGATTTGATTTTAAAATATTGCACAACTCTTAGGGTATTTTGTCATTTCAGTAAGTTCTGTGACGAATGCAGCCTGAAGAAGCTCTTCACTGAATATGTACCTTTACTAAAATGACTGGTTTTAAACTCTATAATTGATCCATTTCATACTCTTCAGCATATCAAAACTCTTCTCCCTCCACACAGGCACATCTTAGAAGTGCTTTCCATGCACATACCTTATACTTTGAAAGAACGATCCAAGTTCTTTCATTTCAAAGAGATGGAACTAATTTTGGTAATTTGAGACAAACTGATTTCATCAAGGACTTAAAGACAATAGAGCATCATTGCTGTTAGTGTAAATCACTAGTTTAGTATAACACTGGAAAACAAGAGCTGTAATCTGAGAAATTCAGAAGTTTATTCATCTGTTCAGTTGAAGTGTTTTTACTTTAGTAACTCCATCTTATGTTACAGTCTGTAAAAATAGTGTAGAAGCACAAAATTTCTTAGAGCAAGATGATTTATTAGTACAGTCTATTCCCAAATGCAGGTAGCAGGTTATCTGAATATTATTCAACTGCTGTGTAGCACCATTCTTTGGAGATCTGATTACTCTGCAGTATCTATCAGATGAGAAGAATTTTTTTTATATTTTCTGGTGGAAGGGCATGCAAACACCCACTTGTTATTCATTTTGAAGGAATTGGTGGTAGCAATAAATCAGGATATAAACAGCAACGTGCAGCCAAATAACAGAAACCTGTGCACAGCTTCTGCAGGAGCAGCATGTGAAGACCCACCTCTCATTGAGTTTGGCAAAATTGTTAGTGGCATTAAATCCGAATATGAGGAAAATGACAGAGTGCAATACACATGCGACCCTGGATATGCTTTATCAGGATCAGAATGGGTAACATGCCATGGAAAAGTCTGGATGCCTGGACCACCTCAGTGTTTGGGTAAGGGTAATTTTTTTTGCTGTTTGACTTGGCAACGGTGGACATTTCTCATTCTCTTGCACCATGTACCATATGTACCATTACCATGTACCGTGGTAACTCCCGTGTCCTGCAGCTGTCTGTGACCCTGTTTTGAGTTGCATTGAACGTCTGTGGTAAACAGACAGCAGGAAGAGTCCTGCAGGTGCTCTTGTTTTCACCCATCTGTTTCAGGATGCTCCTTCTTGGAGTCTGACTTTTTTTGGGCCCTGCAGTAGTCTACTGCACATCAACAGTAATCAAGGTTTCATCTCACTTGATCTATGTATGTTATCTAGTGGCTGCGTGGTTACTTAAATTCCCCTGGACAGTGGTATGTGCTGATGCTATAAAAGGCATCTTTTTTGGTGGGAACAATACAGTCATTCTATGTGCATCGCATTACCCAAAGTTTCAAGTTTGCATATCTTTTCAGAAAGACCATGTGGAAGTATTCCAGCAGTGGCCAATGCTGCATTTGAAGGCAGGAGCAAGGAGAAGTATGAGCCTGGTGAAACAGTTCGCTACCAGTGTCATGAAGGATTTCAGGTCACTGGTCCCCCTGAAATTTTTTGCAGAAGGGGAACTTGGTCAACACCACCAATCTGTGAAGGTATAGGTTGTACTTCTAAGTAGTCTATGATCCTTCTTAGTCTTCCAGGAACAGTAGTTAATGTAACGCCAACCGACAGTTTTCTCTCTGTTTTCCTCCAAGTCTCTCGAAGTACTGCCTACATGGTCTTCTGAAGAATTTGTGGCTAGGCCTCTCTTGCAACTAAACTTGGATGGTTTTCTTTCTAATCTTCTTTCAGAGAAGGATAGAAAATGTGGCCCACCTCCAGATATTGAATACGGAGACATCCTTTCCTTCCCATTACCAGAATATGACCATGGTAAAACTGTGAAATACAAATGCCCAAGTTTCTACATCCTGGAAGGACCTGAGCAAATCACCTGCATTAATGGGCTTTGGACAAATCCCCCAGTTTGCTTGGGTAGGTGGAAGCTGGTGCTGAGTGGCCCAGAGCTGTGTGAGCTGCTCGTTGTCTTTTTCTCAGGCCCTGCAGGCCCTGCACTTGTGAAGCAGCGCTTGTGTTGGGGCTGCGACGCTGACAGGGCAGAAGAGCAGCTGGTGCTTCTCCTGTGCAGAAGGAATTTCCTCTGGAGGTCAGCTCGTGTAGCTGCCTCTGCTGCCTGCTGTCCCTCCCTGCCCCCAGTCACCTGCAGATCCACGCGAGTGGTTTTGTCTGAGTGCAAGGAAATCCAGGGCCAGAAGGGAATGAATTTGAGAAGTGCTAGGACAAGGGCAAGGAGAGAACCCAAAAAGACACAGGGAAGTTCATTGCTGAGTGCCCCCACCCCAGGCTGTGCTTCCCCCTTGCCCTGTGAGACTGTCAGAGGGCAAAGGCCTCTCCACAACAGTGTGTAGTGACTCAGCCATCATTGTTTTTCCCTTTTGCCTTCTTAAGAATGTCTTTCCTGTTGGAAAACTCAGAGGGTGAGAGCTCATTGCTGGAAGAGTTTTGTGAAGTACACCTGTAGGCTCAGAGAGGGAAAGAAAATGTATGTGTGGTACATTTGTATGAACTTACCACATCCTTCTCTTGCCTTTACCAAGCGGCTTGTACGGCCTCTGAAGAAGATATGGACAGAAACAATATTGAGCTGAGATGGAGAGGAGAAAGAAAGCTGTACTCAACATCAGGCGATTTTGTTGAATTTGATTGTAAAATAGGACATGTGCAGGACCCAGCATCTTCCCCCTTCAGAGTGCAGTGCATGGATGGGACATTAGAATACCCACGGTGCAAGCCAGGAAGTAAGTCACCTCCACTCTGTCACTGCTTGGCCGCTGCCTTGGTGCATTTTTAGCGCAGAAGCTGGGAAGAAAACCCCTAGCAAGTGTGCCTGGGGAAGAAATAGCGGGGCTCCAAGGTGGGAGAACACCCTGCAAAGCTGCAGGCCATGAGGGGAGGTTCCCCCAGGAAGCCGCCGACTGGCGAACCTGAGCTGGAAAAGCTCCTGGGGAACAGGCTTGCTGGGGCTCATCAGGGTTACTGGTGCTGGGCCTGCCCGGCTGGTTCCAGGCAGGATGGAAGGGCTGGTAAGTTCCCTGCAAGTGGCTTCTCTGAAATCAGAAGGTGCCATGGACTGTGGCAGGGCTGAAGGGAGGGAGACCATTTCCTTGCAGGGTCTCCAAGGCCTGCCACTGCTGTGCTCCCTTTGCACCCGTGGCCTTCCCAGCTCCTCTCTGGTTGTGCCCTGCTCTGGTGTGTGTGGAGGCAGGGGTCAATGCCCATTGCACGCCTTCACAGGCTTCTCCAGCAGGAAACCTGTGCTTGCCTCCTCATACAATTTCCCCAAGCCGCAATTACTGTGACATTGCTGAAGGGTATGAAATGGGCTTTTGCCTTTCATCATCAGCAATGTGCGTTGATACAGGTGGGGACAGATGCAGCAGGGATGCAGCACAGGAGAATAAGTAGTGTCAGTCACTCAGCTGGTACCAACAGCTTCAGACTGTTGACAACGAGGTCTACAGGCAACTGATGAAAGTACTTTTTCTTGTGGTGGTGGCTGTTCTTTTCTTTTTCTAGTTTTTCTCTAACTTTTTTTTTCTTCCCAAGGGAACTGTAGTTTGAATGAGACAGCTATGGACAGGAACAATATTAAACTAAGACACTCGAGGAGATCTAACATATATCACTCTAAGGAGACTATTTCATTTAAATGCAATTTTTGGTTCCGGGCAGTCTCAAACCCAGAGGATTTTGAGGCACAGTGCCAGGATGGAGTGATTAACTACCCTCGATGTCAATGTAAGTGCTCTGTGTGGAGGGCACAGTGCTCTGTAGAATTGTGGAGAAGAAGGGAGGGTCAGCTTTAGGGGCCTTCACTTAACCCTCTACCAGTTTGTGTCTGTCGTGGGGCTGCTCCTGTTCCAAGGGGCCTGGGGAATCAAACGGAAGCAATGGGAATGCTAGGCAACTTTGCTGTCCACTGCTCTCAAGAAACATGGCTATGTGCCAGCCTTGGTGTTCATTCCTTTTCTACTTCCTCTCTTTACATTGCAGCGTATTTTGGATAAATGGAAAAGGCATGAAGGAGCCCAGCTGGAGAAATGAAAGATCCTTTGACCAACCCAGTGATTTGAGCTCAATTTTCCCTGGAGTTTGCTGTTTCATTGTGCTGTGTTTGCAGCTTAGCCAATGTTCTGTGTTGGAATTTGCCTTTCTTTTTTCCCTTTGAATTTTTGGATGATTGCTTTGATATGTTACCATTTTTGTAAAAGTATTTACATTTTATCCATTCAAATGACTGTACTTCCTTCTTACTTCTGTTCTGTATTGATCTCACTGTTATTTTATTAACAGTTGTTTCCTGAAGTAGGCTGGCTTTGGTGGCATACTGAGACGTCAATTAAAGTGTGCAGCTAATTTGCTGATCAGCAAGTAGTGTGTGTGTGGTCTTGTGTGCTCTTAGCTTCTTCTCCGTGTAGTTTCCTGGGAGTTTAGCCTGGTGTCATGGCAGAGATGAGTGTCCTCACAGCCTCATCATGATGTGAAGGCGAGTGCTCTCCTTTTAACAAGGAGACTTGAGCCTCTGTGATATTTGGTGGAGAGAGTTATCAAGTGTGGACATAGGTGAGGAGTGTAGAAGGCACAGAAATAGTCTGAACATCAGTAAAATAAATCTAGAGCATCTGAAACTGAAACTTCTAAATAGAAGTTCACTTACATGCACTTTTATGGTATGAAAATTTTGGACCAAAGTCAGTTGGTATGCTGATGCTTTCAACAGTGTTAATATTATTTTAAAGATCTAATTGCATCTCTCCCTTCCTTGTATTAGAAATAGAGCAGAGCTGTACCTCTCCACCGATGATTAAAAACGGTGTTCTTCTTAGCCCTCTATTTCAGGGAAAAAAAAAACAAAAAACAAGAAAGCAAAACAGAAAAAGTGTGTAAATACTTTACACAGTGACAAAACATAGGGGGGGGGGAGAAGCAACGGATTGCCACAAGGGCTTGCCAAGCGTGACAGGTCTGTTTGGATGGATTAATATTCCATAATTATTTCAAAAACTTTTCAAGATACATTAAACAAGTTCTGTTCTTCTTCAGTGGTATACCCTAGCTGCTGTATGTTTGCAAATATTTGTAGAATCCTGACTGTATTTTAATCAAGTTTTCTGAGCTTTACTATTTTTTGGATGGACCTAGCACTGTTTTCTGCAAAGAAGGAAACTGGACAGAACAACCGACTTGCTTAGGTAAGGTTTGTGAGAAAAAAAGTAAAAAATTGTGACATGTAATGTAGAAAGGAAAATCTGGAAAGGACCTCTAGATAATCTTTTATTGATTCCCTCTTCTCTTTCATTAGAGCTAACAGATTTCAGAAACACGAGGCTGAACCATTATCAACTATACCTAGCCCGCTGCTGCTAAGTGTCTTCTGGCCTGTTCTTAGTTCCTCTGTTTTCCTGAGTGAAGAGGTCTAGAACTCAGCTGGCCTCATTATTTTAGAAGGCTTTCTAATTTCTTTATCTTCCACATCCTCCATTCAGTGGATTTCTTCCTGTCTTTCTAAAGATGTTTAGAAGAAATGACTGCAGTCCTTGCCTAAATAGTTTTTTTGGTTAGGGTTAGCAGGTATTGTGACTTGGACTTTCATTTTTAAACTTTCAGCCTTTGTGTTTGTTGTGTTCTTGTATCCACCTCTTAATTCTGGACTTCCTAATTGTTCCATGAAGCTCCCATGTATGCTGCTCAAAACAACCTATACATCTCCCACTAGGAGTTTACAGATGTAGGCAGGAATACTACTTCTGATGACTTACAAGAGTTCTTAGTTTATCCTTCTTTCCTTCCTCTAATGAAATAATTTCTACACCATGCTTTGCACATTTGTTAGAATGTGCAATAGGCAATCTCTCCTTGCATTTCCTTCAGAAAATCATTAATAAGGGCCTCTGTCAAGCACTGATTCTCTTGAGACTTGCAGGAATTTGTTTTTTCAACTGCCCCTTTGTCAGGCTTTATTGAAGTGGAGCAGTGGATTCAAAAGTTAGAGGTTAATTGTCGGACAGAAAGCTAGGTTACCCAATTTGATCCTGGCACTAAGAAGTCTGTCAGAAAGCAACCGAAATAATACTGACCTTGAAGTACCTGAAAAAGCCTAAAGAAAACCACAAACTTCATGAAGAAAAAAAAAAAAAGCCAATAAAAAAAAGGAAAATGTCTAAATACTTTATAAATTGACAAAACATGGGGGGAAGGAGGGAAGAAGCAAATGAATTGTCAAAACACTTTGTTAAGTTAATAGCTTAAATTTCCTGTTTCTTCTGTTCTGTTCTTCTTCAGTGGTATATCCTGGCTGCTGTATGTTTGCAAATATTTGTAGAATCCCGATTCTATCTGAAGTGTGATTTCTGAGCTTATTATTTTTGCATGTTCTATTTGTTACTTCAGACTATTTCTTTATTTCTGCTTTCTTTCTAAATGTGCTTTTAGTTCTATTTCTTGCATGATTCCAAAACAATTTATAATTACTGATTTAGATTTCTCTTTTTCAACTCCTGCAACAGGCAGTTAAGAAATCTCTTCATAGAATCATAGAATATCTGAGTTGGAAAGGACGCACAAGGATCATCAAGTCCAACGCCTGGGTCGCTAAAGGATCACCCAGAAAAATCAGATCATGTATCTGGGAGCATTGTCCAAAGTTGATTGCTTTTATTGAACTATGCTTTTATTTCCTAGATCCATGTGTTCTTAATGCAACTGCTCTAAACAATAACAACCTAGAGTTAAAATGGAGACAGGAAGAATTAATGTTCCTACATGGTGACCTCATAGAGTTTGAATGTAAAGAGGGATATGATTTTCCCCAGACTACCCTTCCATCTCCTGGGAGGACGCAGTGTAACCATGGGAGACTGAAATACCCAAAATGTGTTGTTAAAGGTAAAGCAATATTTTGTTGCTTGTTCTTTTGAATTCATCAGTGTCAGACCTCTTTGGAAACATTTGTTCCAGGAAAATAAGTGTGAACTTCAGGAAATTTCATCGGAAAGGTATGTTGTTTATCTGGTATTAAAAGGTGCATGAATGCTGCTTCATATTTCAAGATGACTGCAGTCAACTTTCAGAAATGGGTGTTCAGTGGCACAGTTGGCTGTGAGCCAACTATGGGAGGGAAGGGGGAAGTGATATGTGGCATGAGGACTGGGAAAGCAACAGAACAATGCAATGTTGACACACTATGTGTGGAAATTTTAGGAAGTAGTAGTTCTTTGAGGCTTATAATGCTAAACTTGAGAATGCATAACAATATGGAGAATCTGAGCAAGGGACAAGAAAAGGAGAAAGCATTTTAAGAGAATGTCTGTAAAGGATGAAACTATTTAAAATATAGAAATATGTGAGTTCCACTCAGTAGTTAATTATTAATCTTAAATGAAAAGTGAAGCAAACAGTTTTATTTGCTATTTGAGAACATTCCAACTATTCAAATGATCTGCTGTAACTACTTTGTAGGATTGCTTTGACACTTGCACGTTTATACTCCTGGGACTCTGGCCTGTGAGAATGTTGCACGGCTGCAGATCCAATGAAAATTCAGGAAGACAGAACATGCTTGCCTCATGTCAATTTTGTAAAATAAACACACAATTCCTGGATTCTATTATTCAGTCAGTTCTCATGGGCCTTGGATGATTACAGTGTAGTAATTTCCATGGCTTGGACAGAACAGGAGGATAGTATTTTCTACTCTGACCTTTCTGTTCCACAGTACATGCAGAACTAAGACCCTGCT